ACACCTCCATCTCACCCTCCACCCTCTCGGGCTCTGAGGTGACCCACATTCTTTATAAGGTTTCCCCTGGCACAGATCTAAATCTCTTTCTCGCTTGCTAACAGTACTCATGTTTCATTTACTTATGGTGTTCGGTACCATGCTATTTTGTTTAACACTAATTTACTGGTCTGGAAATCTGTATGTAAGTCAAACTGGCCTTGAACTCACAGAGACCTGCCTGCCTCTGCTTTGTCTGGCCTGACTTTTGTATGCCTTTTGAGACAGATTTCACAATGAAGCTCAGGCTAAGCATGAACGTATATAGTTCAGGCTGGCTTCAAACTCATGTCCATCTTAGTATTAGTGACCTTGTTTCCAACCCAGAACAATATCACCCATCCAACCTGGATTTTGGAGATGTTAAGTAAAACATGTAAAAGGGAGTTTCCTGGGTACGTTAGGTATTTAACTTTCTGTATCATGTAAAAGGGAGTCTCCTGGGTACGTTAGGTATTTAACTTTCTGTATCATGTAAAAGGGAGTCTCCTGGGTACGTTAGGCATTTAACCTCTGTATCAGTTTTAGGCCATCCTGAGAGCTAGGAAATTCTACTCTGTGTCAGGGTACAGGGGGTGATTTCTCCATTGCACAGGGGACAGCATGGGCTATGTCTGTAGCATATCACAGCTCTTTATTCTCCCACAGAGCTTGCTGGAGTGTGAAGGAAATTAGCATGAAAAGGAAGGAGGAGGAATTCAGAGCTGTTTTCATTAAACATGGATGGCCTTGTCTGTGCATGCTGAACACAGGCAAGGGTCTGGCATAAAGAAGGGGGAGTCTGTAGAAGCCACTCAGAAAGGCTTAGTCTGCATGCATAGCAAAACTGGGTGGTTGCTTCTTAATTTTCAAATTTACTACTAGGATTTTTTTTTCCTGTGAAATGAAATAACAATGCTAAGCATCAAAGTGAACAATAAAATTTAGAGAACAGCTAATCATTGTCACACCACTAGTGACATTTTAATTGCTGTGTCTAAGAACACTTGAAAGCCCGTGTGTAACACCACAGTGATTAAACCTGAGTAGAGCTATAGGGAAGCCATAGGCATTAAAGCTTAAGACAAAAATTATTGATAAGTAGTACTTAGTGACATTATTTCAAAGAAAGAAAATGACTTCTATGGAAAACACAGAGCACCTGTATGTGTATGACCTCACCTCGCCACCAGAGCAAGCTTTCTGACAGTATCTGAAATAGCATCACATGCCAGACGCTCTCCACTGGAACCTTTCACCTGGCATTTACTTGAATGAGGTGGAAAGGCCTTGGGTAGCTAAGAGCTCTCCCTTATTACTTTGTTCGGGAGAAGCAAAACAAAATAGGTCTGTTCTTAAGGAAATGATTGCTGCATAAATAAATAATGTGAACAGTCCTCTCATAGTCCCAGAGGGGAGATTTGTCATGTAGACATCTAGTCTCAGTCTTCCAGACTTGCTCTCCACTCACTGTGAAGCCCTGAAATTCTGAGTTGTGGGAACTTCAGCGATCCTTTAACTGATTTGACTCTCTCAAACTAAGAACTGCCATTTTAGAATACGGTTGGCAAAATATTGAACTTTCCCCTATCATTTGTGTAAACATCTTTTCTGATCTCTCATAGACACTCTGGGGACACACCTTGCCATGGCTTCTCGGGCCCATGCAGAGGTATAAAGGGCATGCTTGAAGGACACAAAGGACTTCACGGCACAGCTCACTTTGAGGAGTATTCTCTAGGACTTTGGAGATACTTAAATACACAGCTATTTTGGTTTTATCTTGACAGCCCTGATATTGCAAGCCCAATCCCTCTGTTTACAATAAAAGCTATTTTACCACTTAAAAAAGACAAGTGAAAGCTGAGTGGATCTCTCTGAAGCGCAGAGGAGTGAGTATTCATCCTTGGTGCAAGGAGCTCCGCAGCAGCCACATTGGCGGAGCTCCTGGCTTCCTCTCCTTTTCCCCAAACACTCACTGATGAAAGTGCTTTCATGGACAGCTGATCTCTGTTTGACAGATGAGCGCTAAGTGACTTATCCCGGTCATCCAGCAGGTTGGTGATGGAGCAGGCACCAAACCACAGGATGAGCTCCCATCTCATCTGCATTCTTCCCTCCACAGCACAGAGATGACGTCTGAAGCGGAAGATGGCTTGGTAACACTCATCTGCCTGAACTTAGTGACAAGTCTGTGGCACAGGAAGGGAGCCTGTCTCAGACAAGAGGAAAAGATAAATAATTTCCATGGATGTACCAACCTAACGCTCCATGGACCAGTGGTTATTGGGTTTTTGCAGCACATCCAAAGAGGCAAACATACTTCAGAATAAAGTGATTTAGTGGCTGAAGCCTTCACTGAGTGGCTAAAAGGACCAGTCTCCAAGAGCCCTACAATCTCTGCCATCTACGAGGCCCCGTGTTTGTGGTCTCTACAGAAGCTGGGCTTCCCCCGAACTGGAGCTAAATGAAGAAACCCGCTGAGTAAGGACAGCAGAATTAGGCTCTCAAGGGGACAGAATTAGAACTGACTTAGAGGTTATTCTTGCTTTGTTCTTCAAACTCAAGCTATTAAAGAGACCAGGCAGTATACATTCTTTGCCATAGACGTCCCCACGTAGACAACGTTATCCCACCAAACAGAAGCTCTTCTTTCGCCTACAGCAGTAGTGACAATGCCCAAGGCCCTACTGCACGACACATGCTGCTTACAGAACTTCACCCGCGTACACCGCGCACATTTGATTTTAGAAGAGCAATACTTTCCCTTTCTCCAAAGGCATTCACGGGCACTCACAGCACACAGATTAACAGGGAAGTGTTACAGTCAGCACATCCAGAGTACATGAACAACAAAATTAAGGGAGAATTCTGACATGCATTCTCAGCATCAGCATCTCTGAACACAAGAGATGCCCAAGAGAAGTGAGACCTTGAGATGAGACTCCCGAATGCCCAGGCCTCCCTCTCCCCATCCAGTGATAGCAGCATGGTCCAGAACTTGCCTCCCAGACCCAAGTGACATGCGAAGGAACAAAGCACCAAATTTAGAAGTGACAACAGAGGGGATTCCCAATAACTAGCAGGGTGTCAGACCAGCCACTGTCATTGAGGAATGAGCATATGGACCAAGCTGCTGCCTTTGTGTCCTAACTTACACCAAACCGCCGGGCTTCATTCCTACACTGAGAGGGTGTTCCAGCAAGGGGCTATTTTAGGAGGTAGCTGGTGGGTGGAAGAGAGAGTCCTCAAGAAAGGGGTGGCAGAGAAAACACCTTCAGCTTTTGAAGCTGCAAACAGTTTAGTAGAGCCAGGCCAGACACCGTTGCCTGCTTTCCCCAATATCAGAAGCTGCCCCTTAAGGTTCCAAGAGCCTCTGAAGTTGGTTTCATTTTGTCTCCTCTGACACACCAGCAAAAAGAACCTCATCAGCTTCCCTCCCAACTGGACAGGCGCAAAAACCAGAGGGCCACAAGGTCATGCCACCTTCCTTGCCGAGGACAAGCCCACCCTGTGGGCTACTCTAGGCTTGGCACCCAGGGCAGAGATCAGCCTTCCCCTCTGGGGTTGGCCTGGGTGCTTCTCTGTCAGTATCACCCCAGAAGCACTCCAGGAGACTCTGAGCACACAAAGCTACATTATTGGGAGGCTTGCAGGCAGATTATAAATTTACTGGGGACAATCAAGGCATTTAGTTACTTTTGGCTGCAGATGCTGGTGACACACACGGGCACACAAACCTCATTCTTCCCTCTCTCTCCCTTTCTCCCAAACATCTCTCTTTCAGGAGACAAACTTCCCTTCTCTGGGAATTCCAGGGAGGAGTAGGGATGGAGCAGGTGAGGTGGGGGGGGGGGAGGGATATAGGCCTGGAGACTCCAATATAAACTAAATAGTTCCATTCAAATATAAAGCACAGGCCAGTTTAATTGTGGGTGGCTAGTTTTCATCTGGACCCTGGGATCCCAGAATCACAGCTCTGGGAAACCCAAGGGAAATGAGTGCCTTCTACGGAAGAGAAGTGTGTGATCCCCAGAGTTTCCCAGGGATCACAGGAATCGCTGCAGACGAAGGACCAGGGATAGAGCAGCAGGAAGAAGTAGGCACCAGCTGGAAGAGCTCCCTGCTCCCTCAGGAGCTCCTTAGTGCCATCTTTCTTGAGGGCTTCCTGTGGGCTGCAGGCCTCCCGTGGCCATTTCCGGTCTCTGCCTCTCCTCAGGCTTCCTTAAGGGGACTGGGACTGTAGATGTCCCATGAGCAGTCACAGCAAGGCCCGGGTTCTAACCTCTACTGAAAGGCATAGCAGTGTGGGGGAAGCCACTCTACCACAGGCAGCCGGTCACCTGACCAAGACTGACCACCCAGAGCCAGGAACTCAGTGCTCTTCCCTGGAGGGAGGGGGTTGTCTGTGCCCCTGAGGAAGCACTTCCAGTCAGAAAGTTACTCAGGCCTTTGGACTTGTCACCAGGAGGGACTGAAGCAAGGTGCTTCCTGGAAGCAAAGTGGTTGCCTTCCTTACCAAGCATTCCTGCAGGAGTCTGTGAGGAACACCCCCCCCCCCATGGGGACAGTGTGGGACACTGTGCTGAGGAATGTCAATCACAGACTCCTCCTCATAGCAGCACTCCAGAAGGGTGTGCATGTGTGGGGCGGGGGGCATTAGCAGGTCAGTCCAGCTAAGTTACCATCAAGTAGAGGATGTCTGGCTAAGCAGGAGGGCTGTGGAGGGTTTCTCAGCTGAAGGTCCTTTCACAAACCCTGGGCTGTTACCTGGTAAGGAGCACCCTGCGGTGCAGGGCAGTGACCACGGGCACCTGTGACTTTGATAGTAAGTTTACAACCACGCACGCACACCCAGCAGCCTTTGAGAGACTGGCACCTCGGCCTTCTTCGCGGCCACCCACTCCACCTGAGGCCAAGACAACCAGCACCTTCAGGAGAGGCCCAGGGCCACAATCATAGGAGAAAACCAGGCGCCTTACCGCAAGCAGGGCAGAGTTCCGCTGGTCCCCAGGGGTCGCAGCTGGTGGCTGCTGCTCTCGGTTTACCCCTCCGCTATCGTTACTGGTCAGTCGGTGTTGCTGATGGTGATGGTGGTAGTCTGGTGGAGGCGGAGGGGCTGTGGCTGCTGCCTGGGAGGCCGCGGGAGGAGCAGCAGGGGGCGGTGGAGGGACGGCGGCGGCGGCGGCCGTCGTGGCTGCAGCCTTAGCATGCTTGCTCGCCTTCCTTGCCCCCTGGCCGTGCTGGACCAGGCTGAGAAGCTGCATGGTGCTTTCCCTTTCTCGGTCTGAGCTCTCGGCCCTACCGCGTTCATAGCGTCCTTCGCAGTTCAGGTGATGCTGCCTGCAGACAGCGATGCGAGCCCGCAGGCGTTCCACAATGGCACTGTGCACTCTAGGGGTGGCTGAGCCCCCTCCGAGGAGCCCCGCCCCAGGGCCTCCCCCCAAGCCTCCCGCGGGGGCCTGCGGGGGCGCTGTGTCCCCCATCTCGCCCGACACAATGGTCACTGCCCCTGGGATCACCGGTGAGGTGCGCGAGGCCGGGCTGGGGCTGAGTGTCTCGGGCAAAGCTGGTTTCAGTGCTCAGGGCCACATGGATAGAGGTCCTCGGCGGGTGGGGAGGGGTAGCGGAGGGGGCGTGGGGGAGGGGCGCGGGCAGCCAGAGGGCGGGGGGGGGGAGATCAGAGCCCGACTGGAGAGGGGAAGTTGGAAACAACCCCTGACCAACTTACTCTAATTGCGTTTGACAGCTCAGAAGAAGTTAGCAGAGAGTTGTAGGTCTTCTCTCCCCCGCCAGGCTGACGAGAGCCTCCAGGTACTTTGTAAATACAGAGTCCGGGGATAGTTCAAGAATCCAGGGATCATCGAGGAAGAGACAGCAACGTATAGCAAAAGGAATGGGAAGGGTCGCTAATAGAGAACCGGACTCTCCTCGCCTAGTTGCTTCAGCAGATTATTCACGGGGGTGTTTCTGCAGAGAAATGCATTTCTATTCTGGTCTACGCAGCCGGCAACCTTCACTTTTACTCAGGTTAAAAAACAAACAACCGGGCTGCTTCCCGAGGCTTCTGAAGTCATGTTCGAACTGTGCGGATCCAGGGAGGCTGTCTTGGTTTCTGCGTCCCTTTCTCTCCCTCCGGCGTTGGCGTTTTTTCTCCGGGGGAGGGAAGGGGGGTTAGGATGTTTAGGATGTAGTCTTCTCCCCAAAGCAGACAGCTTTTCAGTCCTAACAGCGTCTGTAATTGCACTTCAGGAGCATGCTCTTTTCTTCAGGCTAATCCAATCACCGGCAAAGATCCTGACTCCTCTTGGGTTTCTCTGGAGTGGCTGGCTACTGAGAACGCTCCTTCAACACATTTCCCCCTTCCCCGCTCACGCTTTTACCCCTCGCCCCCAGTTCTATTCTAATCCAGAATCGGGAGAGACAAAGTCTTCCGAGAGTAATTTACAAAGGATGGCCAAACTTACAAACTTCCAGCAAATTGCACCGAGTCATGTCCAGCTGCCGTTCTGTCCACTTTTGTACATTCCATCCCCGGCCGGTGGCTCGCAGGGGCTGCACTCCCATAGGCAATGTGGCTCTACCGCTTTATAGATGGGGGAAAGAAGAAGGAAAAAGTAGCTTGTATTTTCCTTTCTCTTTCAGGTCTGTTCCGAGCGCTTTCCTGACACCGGCTCCCGCTCCTCGGACTCACGGCGAAACACAGGCTTGCATTGTGCTGCGATAGAAGAGGGGGAGAGAGAGAGAAAGAGAGAGAGAGAGAGAGACAGAGAGGGAGAGAGGGAGCCAGCGGGCTGCAGTTGGGGGAGGAGGGCGGGAGCTGGGCTCCCTGGTGGAAGGCTGGTGCCGCTGCTCCAGTGAGTAATCGCAGCCAGGCGCCGGGAACGGAGTGCAGAGGCCTCCCAGTGGCTGAAGACGCAAACCCTCAGACCTGCTCCTCTCTCCAGGCGACTCTGGGCTCAGCCTCAGCCTGGCTGCTGCGGTGGGGGGGAAGACGGGGATGGGGGGGATGCCAGGTCCCGAAGCAAGTGTTCGAGAGGCTCTCAATGCTGAAGAAAATTCCCAGCGATGGAGTATATTTTCCCCCCCTTCCAGGCACGCAGCTCGCCCCCCTGAGGATATGATTTTCGGTTTTTAATAAGCTGCAAACTACACCACTGGGCAAACCCAACAAGAGCTGGGTGAGGAAAAGCGCATTTGCACAGTGAGGAAGTTGGTGAGTGAGTGTTGGAGACGGAGAGAAGGAAGTCCACCCTGACTCCTAAAGGGACACAATGGGGTAGGCCAGTGAGTTTGGGCAACAGGCTGGGAGGTGATGAACAAATCAGCAGGGATAAATAAACATTGTGTGAGACTGATATTGCCAATACTTGCAGAAAGGAGAGAGAGAAAGAGAGAGAGAGAGAGAGAGAGAGAGAGAGAGAGAGAGAGAGAGAGAGAGAGAGAGAGAGAGAGATGTTTTCCTTTGGAAATGCACCAAATGTTCATGGCTGCCTGGTTGGCATATATAATTTGCTGCATGATTTCAACAACATTCATAACAAAAAATGTTTTGATTCCTTATCTTCTGATGGTGTCTTCTGTAAAATATCCAAGAAGATGAGCATAGTATCAGCAACAAAAAACATAAATGCTGTAATTTACAAGTCATTTGGAGCTGAGGTCTCAGGACCCAAAACTTCACACACTTAACAGTTTAGAAGTTCAGAAGTGTGGCCCTGCTTCAAACATGAGCTATGGGCAGAAGTGAACAAAATTAATGTATCTCAAGACAGAATTTACCCACAGTCCCATGCTGCAACCTGGCTGGCTGCAGACTTCTTTATTTTTTACAAGTCCCAAAATGTTAAGTTGGAAATGTACACAGACACAATCTGACAGGAAAGGGTATGACTTATCCAAAATGTTTGGAATCCAGTGTTTCAGATTTCGGGTTTTTTTGTTTGTTTGTTTTTGTTTTGTTTTTGTGATTTGGGGAGATTGACAAGTTGAATGTATCTTTAATCCCAGAAGGTCCTCAAATCCACCATGTTAGCTCTGTTTAAATAATTCCCTTCTATAGTATCCCAGATTGGTTTTGAGTAAAACACTCTGTGTCTGTAAAACTTCTGGCTTTTCTTGGGAATAGTCTTCTTCAAAGCCAATTCCACCCCCATTCATGTGGAGAAAGGAGAAACTATTCCTTAGAGCGGAAATATAGAAAGGAGACTCCTGCCATCAGGAGGCATCCTGTCATAAAGTGGAAAGGGTTTCTGAACATTGCATATTTAATTTCTAGAAAGAGGGTTCAGTAGACAACACCTTCTACTAACTTCTACTTAAAAATGCCATATTTAGCAGTTATAACCAATAAAACTATGCAAAATTTAAACAAAAAAACTGATTCAATAGCCTATGATAATATAGTTCTTACAGTGTGATGCCTTTGGCCAAATAAGCTACTCCTAGTAAGATAAGTTATAAATAAGAATGATATATTTGCCAAATTGAGATAAAATTTAATTGACATAAAATTGTCCCTAATTCTAAGGTATTGTGTGTATGGACTGCATAATAAGCCCTGGCTTCTGGATTTCTTTTCTCTTTTATGATATCTGAGTGCAGTTGTGCATGTGGTCCCAGGACAACTTTGTGAAATCCAGTACTATCCTTCTACTTGGGTTCCCGTGGTTGAACTCAGGTAGTGCTTGCATCACAAGTACCTTTAGCTGCTGAACCATTTCTCCAGCCACCACCCCTTTGTAATTTTGACAGGAGCATAAATTAAAAGCTTGGGAAGCAAGACTTCAACATACAGGTTTCCATACCACATTCTAGTATGTAAGACACTCCTCTGGACACTGGTGTCTAGAGTGTCTTTTGTCTGATTTCAATTTTTTATGTATGTTTTTTCTGTATGCATATATGTGTGCCACATGTGTGCATTGCTGCACTTAGTCCAGAAAAGGACTTTGGATCCTCTGGAACTGGAATTGCAGATGACTGTGAGCCATCACTTGGGTGCTGGGAACTGAACCTAGGTCCTCTGCAAGAGCAGCCAGTGCTCAGAACTTCTGAGACGGCTCTCCAGCTCCCCTGTATGTATATTTACGTGTACATATCCAAGCCATTTAATTTCTGATTGCAATTTATCACGGACATCCTTCTACTTGTGCATATCATTTTTTCTTATTATTTTTTTTTTAAAACACACTTAAAAGCCCACACTTCACATAGATTGTCTCAAAACACAGACATTTCTGGAGATGCATATTATTAGCTTCATCCAGTTCCTCACTTCGAAGAAGATGAAGACCTATCGAGATGACTTGTTCCACATCAATAATTCGGGAGGTTGGACCAGGACTCTTCAGTTCCAGGTTCTGTCAAGCACAGCATTAGCTGCCTTAATGTAGAACTTGACTGGCATTACAAGCCGGTGTAGCTCAAGGGATGCATCGCCCCCATGCCCACTCTGGAGTTCAAGGAGGCCCTATACCACATGAAGACTGAGTTGGGTACAAATACCTGAATATAAGGAAGTTCAGCTGAGTACATCCGATCGCTTAGGAAAGAATTCTTCCTTCCAGCTCCCTGTTCTTTCGGTATTCTAGTTTTCCCCCGTACTCCTACAGCCTCGGTCTAGCCCTCTGAATTCCTTCAAGCATTAATTCTCCTTGGCCTAACTTTTCCTCATCATCTCTACTATCCAAAGCTACCAAGCACTAAAACATCTAATGCTATGGTAACACGTGCTCCCAATCAAAAGGTTCAGTCATGTGAGAGGACCTGAAGCTTAGAAGCCCAAATCTCATTGTCACATTATTCCATTAATACTGATAATGGTAATACAATACAATGTCATAATACAAGAAAAGTTGTATTATTCACGCAACTCTTACAGTCTGCTTGGTTTTGAGCTGTCAATCCATGCTAAGTCTCACTAATAACCCATTGTTTTATCTATTCTTTTGCTGTTAGCAAATACCCACCAGTCTCTTGGAGGCTCCAGTCAATTCTCTGAGGAATACATTTGGCTACAATGGCCTCAGACTTCAGAAACACCACCTGCAAGCATTTTGATCAGCAATATGTTGCTGTATTTGGGGAAGTGCTTGAAATCAGCAAAGCGAATAACCTAGGAACTAGGAACTGCTGTCTCACAAGGGTTATTAGTCCTTTTAACTTAGATCGTGTGCTATGAAAATAATAACTTCAACTGTTAAACTGTCTCCTTTTATAGGAGATTCAAGCTTGTCACATGGAGAAGGGATGCTTATGTTATCTTCTTACTTTTTCTTCCCTTCAGACACTGCGCTTTTTTTTTTTTTTTTTCTTTTGAACATGGTTTCAATTTTGTTCTCTGGAAGTGAGTTAAATGGTAGTTACCCATGCACCAGAGACATAAACAGCAGCAGGCATGTGGTGGGGATGTCTGCTTCACCCCTGAAAGCTGTTATTCGCTGGTCAACATCAGCCTCAGCATATCCTTGCACTTCCTGAAAATTTTCCTCCCTCCCTCCCTCTCTCCCTCCTTCCCTCCCTCCCTGTCTCTCTCTCCCTCCCTCCCTCCCTCCCTTCCTTCTTGGAAGGTCCTGTAAGACCAATAGGAATAATTATAGATATAGAGTGTAGAAAATACAAACTCATCTCCATGTAATTCTTGATGAAATGTAATTTTACGTAATATATCTATTATATATCTGGAGGCACATGTTATGAATCTCACAATAGATAAAACTAGCTAACTTCAACCAATACTTCCAGAAAGAGAAAAAGCAAATAAAATTCCACAGAAGAATGGATGTTCCATTTAAGAATTAAAGAAACAGAATACACAGCTTTCTTTGAAACCACTTTATTGTATTATGGAAAAGTTGGGATGTGCAAAATAATGTAGGCACAAAAATAAGTTTTTGAATTGTTTTTTGGCTGAACCTGTCTCTGATATCTTCAGACTGCTACATATACGATACATATATATTTACACAGAGAATATTATGGTTAAAAAAAATCACAAAATACATCTCAATCCTTGATACATTACAAATAAAACTGTGCAGAAACAAGAAAGAACATTACACAGAATGAAAAAAAAATGCATCAACAAATTCTTCCTGGATGTGGGGATTGAAAGAGCCTGCAGATTACACATCTGTTCATGAAGGAAACTTCAGCAGGAGGAAGTACTCTTCCTCCTGCAATAGATAAGCTATGGTCTCATTCTGAGGTCAGGGTAACAAAGGCATGGAAGTCTGAGGCCTCTTCCATGGCTCACTGTTTGGAGACATTAATTAGACATTATTACTGAATGTTTAATATTGTTTAATACTGCCAAGCGATTCAACAACACAATGATTCATACGTAGGGTGGCATGAGTCTCACTACATATGAATATACACATGCATACATAGTGTGGATGTGAAGGTGCCTGTGTGTTGTTGCACACATGTGGGCAACATATGTTTGTTTGCATGCATGTTCAGCTCAGAGGACAGCCTTGGGTGTCATTTACAAGCACAACCCAGCTTGTTCTTTGAGACAGGGTCTCTCATTGGAATGAGAGTGGTGGGTTGGCTGCCTGGCTAACAAGCCTCAGGGATCTTCCTGGTCTTCGCCTCCCCAGGGCAGGGATTGCAAGTACATACCAGCACATCTGCTTTTATTTTAAATATGGACATGAGAACTGAACTCAGGTCCTTGTGCTTGTAAGGCAAGTACCGTACTGACTGATCCACCTCCAGGTTAGTCCAAATATATTTTAATGCAGCCTATTTCTACTAAACCAAAAAGAGGACATGATAGAACATTCAACTGCAGGTCACGCATGAGAGGAACATCAATACATGACTAAAATACATTGATGGAGTTTTGAATCACAAATCTGATGTTCTCCATGTACATCTACGCAGGCTTTATTAGACTTCACGTGGCATTTCATGAAAATCAGATGAGCACAAAAACAAGAGATTTTGCCATAAAGATGCACACAGATTATACAATAAATGCTACATGATGCAGAGAAACAAAACACGTGATCTTCACATTTATAGAAACTTTTACAATCTTCTCTGAAGGAAACATGCTATAATTCAAACTTCTCATCTTGAAAATAATCCGCAGAATTGAGATAGTCTTGCAGTTGATCATATTTCTGCATATGCAACAGAAAGTTAGCCATTTTATTCACAACAACAAATAAGACAGACCTTTCTAAATACTTAAACACATGTCTAATGGAAAAGAGGGAACAAAAATTACTTAATTATAAATAGAAGCTCTATTTCAAATAAGCATTTCTAACTCAGAACGCATTGGAAAGAAATCAACTAATAATAATTTGATTTATTGATTATTAGTTATGTATTCTTATCTCTTACAAAGATAATTGTAAAGCACAACATAAATATAATAATTCAATAGCTAATTCAACATATAATTGTAGAACAGATGTACAGATGTGTATGTATTCAGCTTCCTACTAATGAGTGTTGACGGGCAAGGTTTTAAAAGACATTTTCCCCATCCCTAAGACAAGACATCATGGCAACCACACCACTGCAGAGAGGGCTCATTGGTAGTTTAGGTGACCAGCAAAGTCTGACATTTAAGTTGTTCTGCCCAGAAATATTTGATAGGCAAAAATGTAGTGGCAAAAGTATTCCTCCCCCAGCAGTACCATGTCAAGGGAGTATAGGAATCTGATGCCATCTGAGAGAGAGAGGTAGAACTGAACTAAAGAGACTGAGGTCAGGGAATAAAAACTATGAAATACTAGGCAATGGATTGAGCAAAGACTTGAAATGCAATGCAATGCTGCCAAAGACTTTGGAGCAGAGGACTGACCTCATTTAAAGTGCAAGTTCAGAAAGCTGCTTAGCTATTCTATAACTGTAGGGCAATGAGTTATGAATCTGTGATGACAAATTAGGCAACGAGGACTCAAGCCTGTGGGGCAATGATGGAAATGGAGGGTAAAGGACAGGATGGAGCACGCTAATAAGAGATGGCTAAGGGTGCCCTGGAGATTCCAAGGTGAAAGACTACAAGAATGACGGCAGGCAGGGCCATCTCAGGCAGAAAGGGAACAGGAAGATACATGAGTTCACATTTAGATAGAGTCCAAGTATTTATATCAGTTGAGGACATTGAATTATTTAATGGTTTTCTAACTTGGTTTATGAACTCTGAGAGAAGACCTCAGTGGCCCGAATTCTATGATGACAAGGATTCATGGGAAGCAATGTGAATATTGCATTTTCATCCGAGGCCCTCAACATCCCCAGGAAAGAAGGAAGAAGAGAACGAGACAGACAGACATCCATCTGCTAGCATAGGCCACTTAACGTTCTCTTGGCTTTAGTATATGGAGGAAATGGAAGTAAAATTCTTTATGATCTAAAGCCTGCACCTTAAAAGACTGGCTGTTTTAGGATTGTTATTTTATTTTTAAAGTGTTTACTGAATTATATACAAAACTTGTTTTGGAAAATTAAAATGTATCTTAGCACGCTAAGAGAAGCAAATAACAATCTTTGCTTGCTTATATTACAAATAACAGCTAATGGCAGTTGACCACTTCCTAATTCCAGGCCTTAAATATGCCATCATTTGCATGATCGAAGCCCTAATTATTGCTTAATTTCTATTTTACAGAGGCGAAACAGGCTTGGAGAGATCAAGTAATTTGCTTTCACAACCTAGTGCTAGCCAGGGGCAGGGCAAATATTTAAATGCATGCTTTTAACCTGTATAGGATGCTGCTTTTGAGTTTTAAATGGCAGGGGTGTGGCAACAGCTGTTCTGAGAAAAAAAAAAAGAAAAGAAAAGGAAGATGAAAACCACGGAAGGGAAAACCACGGAAGGTCATTACAACCACTCTGCCATCTTCTCTGCCTCAAGATGCAGCTCCTGCATCATCACAGAGCCTTTGGGGAGTCTGGGCCTTACTTTAATAATAAGAGTACTCTCGTATAGTAGTACCAGATGGACACTCTGACAAGAACATTCCAGACTGTAGAAATGGGGTAGGGAAAGTAGTCAGATCCTAAGCAAAGCCTGGCATCCTCTGCCCAGAAAGAGCAAGTGAGGCCAACAGAAAGGAAATGATGGGTAGGCTCAACAGGAAATTTTAAGCTTCAAGCTGCGGACTCCATCTTTAATTTACTTAAGAACCAGACATTATTTTTTTTTAATGTTAGATGTTTAATGCCCTTAAGAAGTTTTATTCAATTGGTCTGGATAAGGCCAGGAATTATGATTTTCCCACTAATTTCTAGGTGATTTTGACATATATAGTTAAGAATAATATTTTGAGAAATACCAACTTAAGGTATAGAAAAAAAAAAAAAAAAAAAAAAAAAAAAAAAAAGAAAGAAAAGAATAAAATGTTAAAAGGAGAGTGTGAAAGAGAAGACTTCAGTGAGGGAAATCTCATTATAATTTAAAGTTCTTATTTCTGTAGTACATTGTAAGTTATTTTAAATATAGTTGTAAAGCAGATTTGATTCTTCTTTTATGAGTGTGTTCAGGTGTGTCTGTTCATGTCAGAGGTCAATGTGGGATATCTTTCTTAGTTGCTCTCTATCTTTCCAGACGAAGTGTCACATTGAATCTTACACTCACATATTTGGCTGGCCAGAAACACCCGGGAGCCCTCTGTCTCTGCTTCTCCAGCACTTGGTTAGGGCACATGCCATTGCACCTGCTCTCCACATGGGCACTGGGGTTTGAATTGAAATTCTCATGCTTGTGTGGCAAAGCACTTTACCTGTGGGGCCATCTCCCTGTCCCTCTGGCCTGGCACTTCTGCTGACATACCATCTTCTCTTCCAGATATCCGTATTTTTACCAACTACTCCCAACAGTCTTATTGTCTACCTCCTAGGAAAGCCCATCATCATGCATATTTTCTTCCCAATGAAAGAGATGCTGGGCACATTAGAATATTTTAGAATGGCATCATGTGCAAGGCAAGAGAAGGGTGTGGCATGCCAGGAGACGGGGACATCCAGGGTCACTGCTCCAAGTATCACAGACGCAGTTACTTCACGGAGGAAAAATAAATAAACGTGGAGGCATGGAGACTGCAGCCAAATGCACTCACAAACACACACCGTGCCATCTCAGGAATGCCAGACAGGAATGCCAGAGCATTTGACAAAGTCGGACATTTTATTACAACACAAAAAGTAATGTATGTATTTATCCTGGATATAAGCTTTCTTGTTCCTAGGATTTTTTTTTTTTTGAAAAAGCATTAAACAACTATTTTTAAGTTAAAATCTCTTTTAAAAGGCCCCCCAATCCAAGACAATGAGGATCCTTGCTGCTTTTACATGGGAGAAAACTGTGTCCCTGTCTTAGGCATATGCATTATCCTTTTAATGTCTAATGTTACGTGTTTCTCTTAATGGAGAACGTGCTGGTTAGTTTTATGTCACCTTGACAGAAGCTGCAGTCATCTAGGAACAGGGATTTCCAGCTGAGAAAATGCCCCCATATAATCTGCCTGTGGGCAATTCCGTAGTGCGATGTTTTCTGATTAAGGATTGATATGGGAGGGCCAGCTCACCTTCGGGCAGGTGGCCCTGTGGCCCTGGATGGTAAGTGAAAGCAGGATAGGCACAGAGGGTAGCCAGTCATCAGTACTCCCCCGTGGCCTCTGCGTCAGTTTCTGCCTTGAGTTCCTGCTCAGACTTCCCTGAGGGATGTAAGGTGAACCGAATTCTTTCCTCCTCAAGTTGCTTTAGGTCATGGTGTTTGTCAGAGCAATAGGAAGTAGGCTGAGACAGAAATTGGAATGCGGAGTGGAGTATTTCTGTGACAGATGTGACCATGTGTTTGTGGGCAGAATGTGCTAGCATTTGAACACTGGGCTGGAAAAGCTGTCGAGTGTTCAGACATCTGTGGGCTCCTTTGTAGAGACTGGAAGAATTGCTGAGGGCAATGTAGATGATGAAGGACTGGGATGTGAGGATTCAGAAAGAAGTCCCTTAGAGAATCTACCAGGACCATTGGATACACTGAATTAAGAATCTGTGGTCCTGGCCAGCTGGGGTTGAAGAATCCGTTGTGATTATCAAGAGCTCAGATCCTCTGAAGTGAAACCCTCGCTTGCTGGGACAATTGATACTGGTCACCTGGGCTGAAGAATTGTGATTGAGACCAGCATCACTTCTAGGAAGTGTTTACTCACATACAAGATTGGTCCAGAGGGACCAAGGGTGTATTTTTTGCTAGTAGCCAAACTTGGTAATGTGTACTGGTTTGGAAGACGTGAAGGTTCACGGAACACAGCTGAGGCACTGTGAATGACCAAGAGAGGCCACTGGTAAAAGTTCAGCCGCAACTTCAGTAGAAACCTCAGAATCTAAGGAGAGTATGGAGAGCCGCTGAGGCTTGGCACCGTGTAGCAGAATAAGGAGTTCCTGAGGAGAGCCCAGGAGAGGCCACTGGGAGAGGTACAGCCCTGTTGCTGCAGAGTTCCTAGCATATTGGAGATGGCAATACCATTGGATGACCACCATGGAGAGTATCGGTTGTAAAGTAGAGCTGGCTTGAGCCTAGGATACAAGCTGTGTGTGTTGTGGATGGTTCTCCAAGCCCCCTAGAGCCCCAAAGATTGTGAATGGGTCCTAGAAGTCTGACACTGAGCTTCACACTGACAGATTTTGGTTTTGCTTTGATTTGTTTGTGAATATGCCCTGGCTCTTGTCTCTTGGGGGAAGAAAATATTAAGCCTTGTCTTTTGATTTAACAGGAGCCTATTATTATTAAGGGACTGGAATTTAAAAAGAACTTTTGGTATTTTAGAGAAACTGAACTTTTAGTGTTTGAATTTTTAAAGACTAGAATTCTTAAAAGTTAGAATGTTTTATACTGTGATACTGATATTAACATGCCATCTTGGGGCAAAAAAGAAAAAAAGTTTATGTTTTAATAATTACGTATTTATGTGTCAAGTTGACAATGGATTGATTCTGTTGTTTAGTTTTATGTCAACTTGATAGAAACTGGAATCATTTAGGGAAAGGGATTCTCAATGGAGAAAGTGTTTCCATGAGATTGGCCTATAGGCAAGTCTGTAGAACATTTTTGTGGGAACCCACAGAATTGACTTCATTCCATTTTGACTTAAAGTCAGATGAGTTTTTACCTGCCATTGCTCTTGCAAGGTCAAACTGCAGAATGTTTGGCCTAAGATGTGTCTATTGTGTGTCTCACCTTGACAACAGGATGTCTTACCTAAGATGTGAATGCAACAGGAATCTTGGTGTAGGATGTGGTCACTGAATGTCCTGCCGAACAACACACTACTTAATTCAGGAGATAGTTATTTGATGTTTTCAGTACTGAGAAGGTAATTACGTGTGCTTGCTCTTTGTCTTGGTAAGAAAGTCTTTTGACTTCTCCCCTCTTTTGATGGGGGCATAAAAAGACTGTGCACAGTAAACACGGGCAGTTCAGTAGGCATTGGATGCCCTCCCAACTCTATTCTGCATCTCTGTCCTTTTTTCCCCCAGTATCTTTAATTTTTCTGCCTGCTATTTCTTAATCCACACACTTCCCTCTAAACATGAACTGGGCCAATAAGCCAGTTGGGACCTGGCTGTTATGATCTTCTGGACATGGGATACTATACATTTTAATTAATGATGGATGTGGGTGGACCCAGCTCACTAAGGGTGATGTTAGCCCTGGGTAGGAGTTCCTACATGCTAAAAAGCAGGCTGAAAAACAGAGAGCAAGCCAGTAAGTGATGTTCCTTCATAGCCTCTGCTTTAGTTCCTTCCTCCAGTTCCTGCTCTGATCTCCCTTAGTAACAGATTGTAGCCTGAAAATTGTAAGCTGAAACAAACCATTCCTCTCCCTTCTGAGCTTGGTATTTTATCACACCAATGGAAGCCTAAGACAGAGAATATAATTTGACTTCCTTTCCTTAAGAATGTTTTTTGTTTCAGGTTCCACCAGTGGCCCTAAACTTCATTATGCTTCCTCTAAAATAACAAAACAAAAAGTATTTTGTTTTCCTTGCAAGAAGTTGAAAGTTCTCCACATATAAGTATGTGTAATTATACCCACACAATGTCCACAAGACTGCAGTTATAGCGGAGCTGAGTGGTACAGCACCTTCCTAGTGTTCACAAAGCATTGGGTTCAATCTCAGGGACCACCAAAAGGGGGAGAGCAGACATATTTACAAGTGAGGTATACCGATAGACTTCCTATCAACACTGCTGAGTTGCTATCTCTTCAAGAGGTCATAAAAGGCACTTAAGAAGGTCAATGTCTCAGAAAACGAAGACCAGGTTACTAGCTAGGTCTTTCCCAAAAGCCAGTGGGAAACATAGATGGGAAGGAGAGGAGCTTCCGGGGAGACTAACAGAAGAGACAGGCAAGACCACTGGACGTGGGTTGAGGTGGGAGAGTAACCGTCCGAAGGGAAAGCGATCCCCGGGTCCTTCTCTGCAGTGACCTTCCCGTGAGTATGATAGGCCCTGAGATGGTCCCGTGTGGCTGTTCCCTCTTTGTTCATGTTTATTTGCTTCACTTTTACTCTCTAACAGGTTTCCCTAGTATACAAGCCAGGCAAAAGGTATCAGAGTCAGGCTCTTTTCTGTTTCTTTGCTTTCCAAGATGAAATATATCACTGGTCCAAACTTCCCCAATAATTTCTGGTTGTTTATGTATCAACAGGACCAACCCTGCTTTAGGAAACTGCTATCACAATCAATCTGTTCACAGCACACTTCTAAAGACTCTGTGAACAAACAGAGCTTCTGATATGCCAGATCTTATGGAACTCTGGGCTCTTCAGAACTCCCACCCTAACCCTGATATCAAACTCGGGAGCTATCAAAGTTCAGGGGATCCTGAAGCCTCAGCATGCCCTTCCATTCTCTGTCACAGTGCCCTCAAATGCCCACACTCAGCCCCAGGTCCTCAAGAAGAGGCTCTGGCTGTATTAGAATTGGTGATGCGGACCCTTTCCTCAGGCTGGCACCAGATGCTTCTTCACTCTTAAATCACAGGGACTGTTCTAGAGAAAGGAAGGCAGACTAGCAAAAGTCAGTCCCACACTTTGTCCCTCTCGACCCCACAGAACACACTCTGGAATATAATAGTTAATATTGATTCCAAGTTTGACAGGACCCAGAATTACCCAGGAGACAAATCTCAGGGCAAGCCTTTGAGGTGTTGTCTAGATTAGGTGAATTAAGGTAGAAAGATCTACCTTAAAAGTCTGTGGCTCTATTCTCTAGGCTTGGGTCCTAGACTGAATAAGGAGAAAGCTAGCTGAGCAGAAGAACTAATCTCTTTACTTCTTGACTTTGAAATAGGATCCGCTGCCACAGGACTTCTGCACCATGATGAACTATAGCACACACCTATAAGCCAAATAACCAATTTTCTCTTAAGATACCGCTGTCATTGTATTTTATCACAATGTGACTTAATATGTAAGTAAGGGGGACATACATAAAAGAGAAAGAAGAAAGACCTTTTGTTAGGGTACAGCATTATTTTCAATAAAATCTACATGAGGTGAGTGGATTCTTATAACATTAGGGCATCTATTTACAATAGAATAATGGCAAACAGCAGAAGAGGAAACATAGGAACAGGGAGAGAAGGGATTTCATAAGTAGCATTGCCTACAAATGTCATCTTTCTGATAGCATCCTCAAACCTTCAGCTTCTGCAGAAGGAGAAGATGTATACTCTTACCTTTTTAATCCAGCCGCTTTCTTTTGCCTGACTGAAGACTCTTCCTACTGTTTCTTTAACCTGTTCATCTCCACCTTCTTCTGTTTTTGCAATGGAGCAACATTCTTGGTACAGTTTGAATTTAAAATGTTTTAGTTTATGATAAATTCTGGTGCGATTAGCACAAATTCTGCCAACAATAAACACCTACATTGAGAAATATATGTCATTATCTCAAATATGAAGTGAATAAATAAATATATACCACTTCTAGTTTTCAGATTTCCCTTAATAGTAGAATCTAAAACATGTACTTTTAATTTTATTTAAATATTTATACGAATGGTTCCTCTATCTATACAACCAATCAACAGAACCTGTCACCTCTATGCTCCCAGTATTGGGTAGGGGCTAGAGGCTAAGTGAGGGCAGAGCAGCTGTGTTAGGAGCTTAATGCCTTAGCAGAGAGATGATTATAAAACACCACACCGAATGTTCTGCCCAGAATGCGACTAAGACGTCAGTCCATGTCTCTTTGTATGTGTGCATGGATATATGAAGGCCAGAGGGCAATCTCAGGCATCATTCCTCAGGCTCCAATAATCCTTTTTTCTTTTGAGACAGCATTATTGCACTGGCCCTGAACTTCCCAGCTAGGTGAGGAATTCCAGAGCTTAACCTGACTGACTGACTGACTGACCTAGTGGGGGCTGGCTGATTGACTGACTGACCTAGTGGGGGCTGGGCTTGATCTCAGACCCTCATGCTTTCATCCCTCTATTGACTAAACACTTCCCAGCCTCTGCCAGTGATTCTTGGAGTTCTGAAAACAATTATCTGAATTTGGGAAGAAAGAAATTGCTTTTAAGGCAGAAAGATGGACACACACAAAAGCAGAAGGCATATAGAGTATGGCATATACACCTTTTTGTGTTTAAAATGCCCAGATTATGATAAATTATAAATATAAGCAACATCTAAAGGTGAAACATTCTTACAGCAATGTTTAGTGTCATTAGTTGTTTTATAAACAATTCCCAAATGTAAAGTAAAAATGTTCGTTGTGTGTACGTATATTTTTGCCTTTAGTTCATGTGTTATGTATAAATAAGAATTAACATTTTGTCTGCTTTGATTATATATGGACTTCTAGGACTCTGTGATGGATGTCTGTGAAATCAGTCAACCAGACGATTTCTGTTTTCTAAAAGAGGAGGTAATATCTCTCTACTGATAAGTTAAATACATCTTAATTCACACTATTTTCATTCTTTGTAGAAAATTCACCAGAATGGACTCCAAGCAGCACAACATGATCATATCATACAAGGACCTTAAGGTACCAATGTCCTAGCTTAAAAGTATTCATCTCTATGCTCAAGTGCACAAGTTTAGTACTAGCTATATATTTTTTAATAGTTATCTCTGCCACTTTTTTTCTGAAGCTGCAAATGCACAGGAATACAGAACTGATGATGCTGTGAAGACAAGAGCTCAGGAGTATGTTGTCAAAAAGGAATTTGAGTTAGATAACGATGACTGAAGAACAGCATGGGTAAGTGAAGCATTTTGGACATTTCATTATATCCGATGTCTTTTGTTTGTTTGGTTTTTCCCAGACAGGGTTTCCCTGGGAAGCTGTGGTTGTCCTGAAATTCACTATGTAGTCCAGGACAGCCTCAAACTCAAACTCAAGACACTGGCCGGCCTACACCTGCCTTTCTGTGCTGAGATTAATAGTGTGTGCCACCATTGCCTGGCCTGTGACTTCTGGAGAGACATGAACAGGTATTTATTCTCCCCAGATACGGCACTCAAAAAACAGACCAAAGCAACCATTCCACCCACGTTTCAGTTAGTGGGTCACTGAGTTTACTGGAGTTACCCACAGAGCATGGATGAATCAAAGACGAGAGCAAAACTGAGAAATCTGCCCTAGCAGAAGAACTGCATTCCTGGGCTGCCTGAACAACATACAGTCAACCCAAACACCAATCCATCACGCCACCAGCCTTTCCTCCCCCTGTCTGGCAACTGTTTCTGCTTATATAGCTTCGGGAAGGGGTCTTGTGAGCATTAGTTTCTCTCATTTCCTGAGTTTGATAAGACTTGTTTGTTTGTTTGTTTTTCTATCAAGCTCTTGTGAGCCAAGGCCTCTTGTCCAACATAACACCACTATAACTAAACTACCCCCTCTGTGAAGATGGTAACTCCATCTTCCATCAGAGCATGTCATTTCTTTCAAATAAGCTAATCTTTGCTAAGTCAGGCAGAAGAAAATTAACAACAAACAATCATGGTTTTACTGCATCCTCAAAGAGAACCTGGTTAATCCTAGGCTTTGAATTTTAAGTAACTTTCAGAACAATGACAAAAGAGAGAGCGGTTTCCAAACAATATGAGGCCAGGTGGAGGTGTGGACAGGCTCTTTAAGCCCCAGAATATAAGTACATTTGTTTTTCCTTTATTTGCTCGTACCGACACAGTGGTTCAACAGGATAGAGAATAACTTTAGTAAATGATAGTAATGGATTCTGATCACACTTTTTCTGAAAACTATTGAATTCCATGCCAAAACAAACACTAAAGTTTTAGTGGTTTCCTTAAACTAGTTCTGTGATATGCTTATGAGTTAATTAGAATACAATGAGTTTTTTGAAATAGAAATTTACTGAAGAAATTTATTTTACCTAGCATCGTTTCAAAACAGGCATAATAACTATTACTAAGAACATCATCTGAACAAATGTTATTACTTCCTGCCACACATTCTTGTATATCAGACTATCATATTATTTTCTAAAATGTTTTATTTGAACTGCTTTCTACTATTTTGTTCCTTGCTCCTTATCAAGAATGCTTCCGTCAACTTTGCAATGATGTCACTTGCTTTTATTAAATTTACTTCCATAGGTACAGTCACGGTGACTGTAGCAACTCTGGCTGCGTAGTCACCTGCATTTTAGAATTACACCATCTATTTCTTCCTCTAGGAACCTCACTTTTCATAAGCCTGCATACTTCTCAGGGATGCTCATCATATTACCTTTCAGCATATTAGCGGGTCCACAGTGGTTTAGGAGCTACGGATGCAAATCTTCGGTAGTTTTATTTGTATGTTCTAAGGAGAGTGAGCGTTTCCTCTTGTATTTAACTTTCATAATCCCCACCCGTGTGACTCTGATCTTCTGGGCTCCTTTCTTTCCTTCTTCTCTTCCTCACTTTCTCCTGTCTGCCTTCCATCCTCCCCCTCCCTTCCTCCCTCCCCCCCCCCCCGCTCTCCTCCCCCCTCCTCTTTTCCCTTTGTCTTTTTATTGTACAGATCGCGCTGGTTTGGCATTTGCTATGTAGCCCAAACTGGCCTTGAATTCAGAGTTTCATGTTTCAGACTCCTAAATGTTAGGGTTAGACATATGTCCCTTTGTATGTGACCTTAATTTTAGATACCCGAATTAACCTGTTTAAGCAGAAACTCTGTTTCTTCTCAGTAATGTTAGGCTTCTATGAATGATTTTTAATTCTACTTTCCACTCAAGGATTAGCTATATATAACAAGGACATATTGAAATCAATATATTTGATCTATACAACAGAATATGGTTCTTGAAGTATTCAATCTCTTTTGATAAGATACTGGATTTCTTATAAAAAAAATCATAGTTCACTTTTAAGCAATGAGAAAAATGCATATACAATATTGATAAAGAACAATTCTGAATTCACTATCCATATAGAATTTTTATATTATTTTATTGTGCATGTGCATCTGTGCCTGCGTGTATGCATATGTATCACACGCATGCAGGAGCCTTTGGAGGCCAGACGAGGGCATGTGATCTTATAAAACTGGAGTTATAAACAGCTGTGAGCTGCTATGTGGGAACCGAGAGCTGAACCAGGGTCTTCTGAAAAAGCAGCAATACTCTTAATCACTGAGCCATCTCTCCAGTTCCCAAGAATAAAATCTATAAATGACTTTCCCAATCCTTATTTTAATGTTAAGAGAGATCTAGTCAACTACTGCCCAATAGTACTCGCGAATCACACTTCCCAATAAGTCGTATTTCCTCCACTTTATTTTTTATTTAGTGTTTTATTTTCTTTTTCATTTTCCTCCTCTTTAATAATGGAATATTTAGTAACCACTTTAGGTCTCTATCTTCCCCAAACAAACATTCTCCAAAGATGTGCACATCAATGCAGTCTTCTTACAAAGTAAGATTAAAAACACAAATGGAATGTATATTTTTATGAGTTCCCACTCTTGTCTATTAATTACTTATTTTTAATTTTTTTTCTCTTTGAGACAGGGTTTCTCGGTGTCTCCTGGGACTCGTTCTATAGAGCAGGCTGGCCTGTCTCTGCTTCTTCCTGCCTCCCAAGTTCAGATTAAGGTGTCCACTACCAAGCCTAGCACTTACTTATTCTTGAAGCTTCTCTCTACCCAGATTTAAAACCGTCTTAATCAGGTAAATAATTGCTCTAGACGCTGACGTGCCAGATAACATCTAAATTGTATCTTGATAGGATGAACAGCCATCTTCAATTACTGACCTATAGACTACTAATTTGAATACTGTCATGAGGCTTTGACCTGGGTCGTGCCCTTGTCTGGACTTCAAAGACAACACCTGTTTCCTTGTCCAAGAGGCCTTCTTCCTCACCCCCATCCTGCACACCAGCCCTACAATATGACTCACTGAGATTAAGAATACGAACTGATTTTATCTCACTGAGTTAGGGGTGAATTGCTATATAAGACAAATTTTTCACCTTTGAAACTTATACCTTGGGGTGAGTGAGGGGTATTACTCAATAGGGTGCTTACTGAGCAAGCTGGGGCCCTGGATTTAGTTATATGTGGCACACTAATAGAAATAAAGAAAATCAAACGTACCTCCTTACCTTGTACTCTTCTTTGTAGTGGGTATTTGTAAGATCTAGAGCACAAGCTACGAAGCCTAGATTCTCTAAATAGCAAAGGCAGAGACTAGCAAAAGATACCTGCTTGTCATGTGACATGAAATCGTCTGTCTCCATTGTCCTGGTGTTGTACAACTTTCCTGAGAGGTGCACTGAGTATTGACAGTGGCGATGCAGCCCACAAGCCTGGCAGGAGCAGTCCTCGGGGTTCTTCGAATGGACACTTAAGTTAGAGTAGCTTTCAACTCGCTCCTGACAACAGTTAAAATTGATGAAGATACGTTAAATATGAATATATCCAAATTATAGCTCATTTTGGAAGCCAGTGGGAAAGATATAATAATAACATGGAATTTCTTACTTGAAGAGGGTATTTTTTAATTGAAAAATAAGTTATTAATCTTAGCCATAAAAAACAGACAAGGAAAAACAATTAGTTTCATCTATCTCTTTGCTTACAAATTACTAGTAGGTCCTGTTTCCAATAGGTTTAACTTACTTTTTTCCAAGTCTCATCTGTTACTAGCATCAAATGAGATATTAAGTAGGAAAATGAGCAACAAAAATTCAGAGAAAGATGAATTCATTTAAGCTAGTTAGAATTTGAAGAGAGTTCCATTCATTCTTCAGTGTGTGAGTTAAATCACATTTTCCTCAAAACATTCTGGAAATAATTCAATTCTCCTGGAGTCATCTGCTTTGTCTTGTGAAAATAAGCACCTTGCAATTAATAATGTTCCATGTCCAGTACTGATGGGCCATCTGGTGACTGGATTATCAATGAATGAACAACGTGAGAAACACAGGTCTGCATAAGCAAACTGTATCAACGATGAACTTACTTGTACCCTGAGTAACCGTGTTCCCGTGCAGGCTGTGTATGACAGTCCTGCTCTATTAGCGGTGTACTTTAATACTACACTTGAATGAGCACACTAAGTGTGTCGCTAGCACCATTACTAATCTACATTCATCCCCTACACCAGTGGGAGGGTACGCTGGTCCTTTACATATTGTGTGATCTGCAAGGCTGTTCTGATTTACCTGTCAAATTCCTCACACTTCACAGCATGTCACTAACGACTTAGGTCCAGACTAGCCCTCATCCCTTCCTGCTTCTGCAGTGCTGTGGTAGCAAAGTGAGATGAAAGCTCCCACAGCTGGGTTTCTGGACGACCACTGTGAACAGAATGCATGCCACATGTGGCGCACACGTTTTTCTGGGTTAAACCAGTGAGCTTTCTTCATGTTACTTTTCCTTTTGCAGTATGACTCAGTGTACCCTAAGACCTTACGGAACCATCTGTCTGACAGTTCTGGGCGCCTTACTGTTATTTCATCCTGGGTTTTCTAAATCCACTGTAACATGCCAGCGTGAAAAAAACGTAACTTCAAGGTCTGAGTCTTGAAGGACTCTTATTAATAAATACTGGCCTGTGAAATTAATAGCTGTGGGACATTGCTTTCTCTGGTTACATGTGCTCATCGTAAAATGAGGAGAGAATAGTCTTTAAAATAAGTTATTAATTAACAAGGCAGAACGCCAACACTTCAGAGAACGATTGCATCTGGTTGGACACTGAAATCCTGAGAGGGCCACTGTCCCCATGCTCTTACCAGAGATTAAAAGGCTAACCATATACCTTATATTGTTCTTTCCATCGACTTCTAGAGACTAAACTCTCCAGGCGGGGTTGAATAAAGCGATTATCCAGATAGTGAAGAGATGTCAACATATCTTGTGCATACGACTTCTTCCTGGTGCCAGCTGTGTACAGATGACAAAGGAAAAAAAAAAAAAAAAAAAAAAACCAGAAGAGCCCTTGAAATGCTGAGTCAGCTGAGCACTATGGGTGTACGTCTCAGAGCTTTAGAAAGGTGGTTAACTAGCTGTAAATATTTTAAATTAGAAAGTAATTAATGAAGTAAACGGCTCACCTCACGGCAGTACAGGGGCACAGAGCAGGGCAGAGCTTCTAATAGCCTCCTGGAGACATCACGCTTCTTATCATTATGCGCATCTCATAGCAGAAGGAGCCTGGCCTTCACAGAGCCTTTTACTTTCCTTTAAAACTGATTTGCATTTGCATAACCACTGAAATACTGATGATGCTTTAGGGACCCCTGCAGCTGGCTCCGTCCATGAGCCAGTGGTAACTCCTGTCAGCACACTGGAAAAGCCTATTTCTGCCTGTCTTCCTAGTCATTCCCTCATAGCACACTACAGTCATTTTTGCTTTCCCAATTTGACTACTAGTTTGTTCTCAATTTATATGTATTTTGTCATGGCCTGCGATGCTAAGCTTCATTTTTCTACTTTCTTCAGAAATGTGTTTCCAAAGGAACATAGCTAATAAGTCTATCATATTCTATACAAGTCACTACAAGTGTAAACACTGTATCATGAATTAAAAGCCCTTCTTTCCATTATTACATCCTTTGAAGTCTTTTCCCCTCAACCCCGACTCACTGCACTATAATGACACTGCTCTTTCTAGTTGTTCTTGAATGTTCTTAACTATTACTGCTGTTACTGTGACCCTAAGCATTATACATACATACATACATGACACAAACCTCTCTGAATAAAGGGTGAGCTGATTAACAAAGCGGGCTGAGCAAGCCATGGAAAGAAAGCCAGTAAGCAGCAGCCTCTGTGCCTCCGCTCAGTTCCTTGCAGGTTTCTGCCTTGCTTCCCTAGGTGGACTATGACCCAGTACATACAAGCCAAATGAACCCTTTGGTTAGTATTTTACCATAGCATAGTAACAGAGAGGAGACTATATACAGAAACTGGAAGTGAAAGTAGAGTATTTCTGTGACAGAGCTGACCATATTCTGGAAGGGTTATGGAGATGTTTGGAACTTTGAGTGCTTAGAGCTTAACTGGCTGTTCTGTGGGACCCTGAAAGATAATGCCAAGAGCAATGCAGACAATGGAGGCCTGGGTTGTAAAGTTTTAGTCCAAGTACAGACTCTGCCAGGTGTGCTGGTAGGCAAATTGGGCAATGTCCAAGACTCACACAGGTGGTACAAGTTTTAAGGCACCAAGGGGTCATGGATGGCAATTGAGGCCTGGTACCAAAAGTCCAGGAGAGGCTGTCGGGAAAGGTACAGCCCTGTTCCTGCAGAGCTCCCAACATATGGGAGGTGAAAATACCATGGGATGACCACCAAGGAGAGCACCAAGTGTAGTGTAGAGCTGGCCCGAGAATAAGAGGAAAGCGGTCTGTGCTGAAAATGGCTGCCCTGCACTCTGAAGCCCAGAAGATTGTGAATGAGTCCCGGCAGGCTGACGGACACTGAGCTTCACACTGATGGACTTTGGTTTGGCTTTGATTTGTTTGTGAATATGCCCTGGTTCTTGTCTCTTGGAGAAAGAAAATATTTAACTTGTCTTTTGATTTTGATTACAGGTGCCCAAGGTTGAGAGACTTTGATGTTGTAGAGAGGCTTTGATCTTTGACAGAGACTTTTGATGTTTAATAAAAAGACTGAACTTATTGGGCAGTGGTGGCACACATCTTTAATCCCAACACTCAGGAGGCAGAGGCAGGTGGATCTTTGAGTTTAAAGCCAGCCTGACCTACAGAGTGAGTTCCAGGACAGCCAAGGCTACACAGAGAAACCCTGTTTCAAACAAACAAACAAACAAACAAAAACAAAAAAACAAAAAAGAAAAAAACAAAAAATCCAGACAATTTAATAGTGTGAGTTTGTAAAGACTAGAGCTTTTTAAAAGTTGAAATGTATCCTATTTTGGATACTGATATAAATATGAGATATTGTGAATAAATTAGATAGGAAGGGTTATGGTGTAATAGTAATGTATTGATGTGCCAAACTGATAAGGGTCAATTGTCCTGGATAGTTTTGGGAGAGGGAAACTCAACTGAAAAACATACTCCCGTTAGATTAACTATAGGCAAATGTGTAGGGCATTTTATTGATTGCTATCAAATGTGGAAAGGCTTAGCTCACTGTGGATAGTATTAGCCCTGGGCAGGTAGTCCTGTGTTATATAAGAAAGCAGGCTAAGCAAGCCATGAAAAGGAATCCAGTAATCCTCTATGTCCTTTGTTTCACTTCCTGTCTTCACGTTTCTGCTTTGGCTTCCCTCAATGAACTGTGACACAGTATTCATAAGCCAAAGAAACCTTTAATTCCTAAATTGCTTTTGGCCAGTATTTTTATCACAGAAATATAAAGCAAACTAATGCATTCACTTTACTAATGTTTATGTTTAGAAGCTACTTCATTACATTATTTGACCAATCTGTCCAATCTTCATATACATATGTATAATATATATGCGTATATTTAATACATAACCATATTATAACATGCACACATATGCAATATTATCGTTTACCTGTCAGTATGCTTTGGCAAGATGTCAACTTGGCACATCTGGGTACAGGGACTTTCAATTGAAAAGACTCCTCTATAAGACTTGCCTAGGCAAGTCTGCAGCACAAGTTTTAGTAATTAATGTGTGAGGGCCCAGCCCATTGTGGGTGGTGCAACCCCTGGACAGGTGGTACGAGAAAGCAGATTGAGCAAGACGGGGTACTAAGCCAATTCTCAGCACTCTTCCTTGAGAAACCCTAGCTAAGACTTTCTCTCTTCTACCTAATGGACATCAGATTTTCTTCATCTTATCCAACCATGCATTTTTTGCTTTCACAAGAAGTACATACTAGTTTTCATTCACATATTATGCTAATTATTTACTCATTGTTTATTAATTTCAAACCACAAAAGATACACATTTAATGTTTTCCTTACCTTTTGTGGTTTGAAATGATCATATCACCAATCCTCAAATAATGCTTGGACCATAGATGGCAATCAAGAAATATGTGTTCTATAACTTATGAATAAAATCTTTTTTAGGCACTCATAGGTATTCAGCACAACATGTGCACATACGATGTCAGATTCTGTGTTGGGGACATGTGTATATATTAAAAGTTTGATTTTTCACACTCTGGTAAGGCAAACAAAACAGAGACACATTTTCAACACAACACAGGGATTCACATGTATGGATAAAACCATATTCAGAATGAGAGTGGTGTGAGCGACGCAATGAAAAGTCTTCATAGTTTTTACAACAAAAACATTTCTACATTTATCTAGAATATTTATAATAAAAGAGATCTGCATGGAGCAAGGCACAAATGCAGGGATAGCATATGCCTTTTGGTGAGATTCAAATTATCTGAGGAACTGAGAAAGCATATGAATGTCGAGGCACCCTTCTCTTTTAGGGGTGTATGCTCTACATTCCCAGATTCACTGTAGAGTCTTTGAGAGCAAGGACTTGTCACATACCATTTATATATTTCACATAATACTAACAAGCCTTTCATGTGTATGCAGTTTACAGTGTAGTTTATTCCAGAAGGAACTGAACAAATTTAGGAATGGGTTGTCTTGGCTTTGTTTAATCTAATTTCAAAATCTTTTAGGAAAACATTTTAGAATGTGCCAGTGATACTATTAACTTACCATACAAGGTTTCCAGAAAAGATTCATCGAAAGCATTGATCAGAAGAGCCTTCACAACTGTTCCAAAGTGTGTATAGTGGTCACTAAAAGAATCTGAAATTAATTTAAAGTAATTATTAGGGTAGAGCAGGCAAAACTACTGTGGCTGCAATAGGCGGCCTTCCAATGCTAGGACGCTGGTTACCACAAATTGTACACATTTTGCTCATTCCGTATCTGATTTTGTGACTTGGGGCAATAAAAATAATGTCTATTTTCCGAATTTGGTGGATTTAGATGTTATCTAAAATGGTCCCAGACTTACTAAGGGAAAATTCTTCAAGGAATACTGAGAGATACACTGTGAAAAATCAAAATAATCCATGTCTACTTGAAATGATTAACTAGAGTGAAAGAAAAAGGCAAGAAAACCTCCCAAATAGACTGTTTAATGTGCTTTCGTCTATACCATGCCACACAAGACACAGCTCAGGAAACTACTACTCACAGAAATCTCAGTGGGAATAACGACTCCATTATCCCTTACCCTGGCACAGGTGTAGGATTTCCCACACCACTTAAAGAGCTGTGCCTTCTCTTTACCACGATACACACATGAGGCTCTCTAAGATAGCCTCAGACGTGATTTCATCATGGTGACAGGCCAGGTAGTGGTGCTATTCTTGTTCCTCTGGGGCTAGAATTTACTATGGGGTATGGAAATGTTCTCTAGCAAATCCTCCTTCCCATGATTCATATAGTTATCAAAGAACACTTGCCGTGCTAGAATCACCTGTGAACTATGACTGGAAATGTGGAAGATATTTAATTAGGGACTGAGGAAAAAAACAGGACATATTCTTAGAAATTGTGAATGGATTGGGGTTTTATTTCCAGCTGATAAAATAGATTGAACACTGAGAGGCTGTTTTATTTCTGTTTGCTAAAAGGGCTCTGTAAGCTTTCTAGGCCTTTACAGAAATTTCAGTTTCTACTATTTCCACAAAGGTGGTAAAGTTTAAATAGCAATAGAAGTAATTTCTACTGTGTTTTAGACTTTATATGACTTACCATTGAAAATTACCAAAATAGCAATTGTGTTATTAGAGGATACAAGACTATTAAACACACACACACACACACACACACACACACACACACACACACACACACCAATAACATCTAATAGGAATGTAAAGTACAGTAATACTTCAAAAGAATTCACCTGTGACTAGATTTTCAACACTGGTATAAAATAAAGTTGGTATATAATTTTGAGTTAAAAATCCATTCAAACTCCATCTAATACTTTTCAAACTATATTAAGGGAAAGCTCTTCTGGGGATTATTTTCAGACATGTTGGGACAGAAAGTTAAACTCAGCCACTTTGGGACTAAGTATAACCATCAAGCAAAAAAAAAAAAAAAGTTTTTTTTTTTTTAAACCTCACTTGAATGTGTTCATGTCCAATGTTACTCCTCTGCCATGGAACTTTATGAACTACAGCTCTATTTCAAAGGCTCTGGAAGTTCTCCTTCAGAAGCAGGAGGAAAGGACAGAGGTCAACCAACATTGCTTGGGTATCTGACTTCCTAACCAGAGGATCTTCTTCCTAGCCATGCTCCTTACAAAGGAGTTTCTGGTTTCATCCTATTTGAGTGAACAGTAGGCAGTGCTGGAATAATGTTCCTATATCTCCAACTGAAAGATATCATAACTAAGGAAGAAAATACCACACATTGCCTGCCTATTTCTAAAGGGCTAACCACGGAGGTGTTGCCCTTGGTGTATTTGTAGTGGGGGAAGCTGAAAAGATGATGAAAGGGTTCCTAAAGCATATAGCTAGAGGCTGGAGGCTGAGTGCCAGGCAGTCTCCTCTGGACTTTGTATTCATGTCCCTTGCATAGGTCGTAGATTTGGTATTAGCTCTCAAGACACAGAACTGAATTGAGAATTGGAGGTTATAAAATTAAAATTTATGACCTAAAAAGAAAATGACAACTCCCAGTGACAAAGATCCTGAAGATTACAAGTAAACAGAAAAGAGGTTTGGAACTAGATTTGGAGTGCAGGCTTCCTTCAGGACTAGTTCTAATTCCTATATTGGATGAATGTCTGTGGAATATTCTTGGAGATTTAGTTAAAATTTTTCCCCCATAATCATCTCTTGTTTGGCAATATTGAGGTTTGTACTTAGGGTCTCCTGCATGCTATTCATGTACTTCATGATCATTTCAATACAGAAAAGGATAAAGACGTCATATTCGTTATTATGCTTGATTTTATTTTTCTAAGATACTCCATGTTCCATTTGATATCTAAGTATTCTGTTGTTGCCTGCATCTTTTAGCTGCACATATGCTGAGATTTTGTTTCAACACCCTTCTGACTGATCTCGGTGTTTTTCTCAAGTCAGCTCTGCCCTGCTTTACTTATTTCAACTGAAGAGCAATCCTTTCAATTACTCCTTTTTCAAAATTCACTTTGTTCTTCTGCATTTGTTCTTCTAAAGAAAAAAAAAAAAAAAAAAAAAAAGACCTCGTGGTATGTAGTACTTTCAGATCATGCTTGCCTCTCCCTCCACTTACTCATATTTCCTTTCTTATTTCATAGTGTGTTTTGAATCTACAAAGCCTGCCATGCTTTTACAACTGGGTTTAGGAACTTTATTTTGTTGGTGGTATGGAAGGAATTTTTTTTTAATTATATTTTTTAAGTATTTATTTATAGAATAGAAGAAACTAATTGAGCTTTGTATACCCACTATTTTTTTTGGCTACTTTTCTGAGATCCTTTACTAATTTCAAAATAGCTTCTCTTGGATATCTGTGGGAGATGAGCCTCCCAAGACACTACAGAGCTGGAGATGGGTATTGTTAAGGGGTTCTGATGACATTATTTCTGCTTTCTCTTCCAAACCGAAGAAAATTATAAATACTCCTCCAGAGAGAAGTGAATGGCTAGCTGACATGTTTTCTGATGCAATGAAAGCATACACATAGCATGAGTAGGTAGAGGTAGAGTAGGAAAATTTTCTTTTCTAACAGTTCCTCTCTATCCCTGCACACACTCATGGAAGACAATGTGGGTAGAAAACTATGGAAAGAAATTCAACATACACTCCTGCTCTTAAAATACCCATCTTATTTCTCTTAATTCTACATATGTGGTTAAGTTAGAAACATAGCGATCATGTTTTAATATACCCATATAGACATGTCATCATCTTAGGTGCAAATGTCTTTTTCAAACTGATTCTTTTTTACCTACCTCACTTATCCTAAGCAGAATATAAGCAGATATTTACAGGGCTGATGAAAACAGAGGAAGACTTAACTGTCTTGTTTCAGTCATGAAAGAGGAAACCATTACTGAAGTAGCATAGATGTACCTCTTGGCCAAATGACATGCGATGAGGAAATGACAAATGTCTTCCCTAGTCTTTAATGAATTGACACCCACACCCATTTTTCTGAGATAAGATCTAACTGTGTAGCCCTGGCTGGACTGGAACTTCCTGTGTAGCTCAGGCTTGCCTTGAACTCACAGACCTACCTGCCTCTGCCTCCTAGTGCTGGGATTATAGGCATGGGCTACCACTGGGGGCCAATTTTGATTCTCAACTGTACACTGAATATAGAATTAGGAGAAGCTTCTGAGTTGCATGTAGTATGGATTCTTGCAGAAGTTGGAAGGATGAATATGGGTATGCCACTTCAGTTATAATTTAACATTGAGTCAGAGTGGCATTCACTGTTCATCATATAGGCTATTACCTTAATGACAAAAATGTTTTGAATTTATAAGAATTAACTTATAGCAACCTTTAGAACTTAATTCCTTGGCTAATCAAAAATTGCTTAAACTTTATCAACTTCATTGGACATAAAATTGATAAGCTAAAAGTACTAATTAATCATACATATAAACTCTAAATTTTTGTTTCATTAGCTCTGACATATACAAAAACACTACTCATGATTAGCATTTATCTCGGTCCACAAGGTCCAGGAATATTCTGACACTATGTATATTTTAGTCACCCACACAACTAAAAATAAACTCCTATAAAAATGCCACAAAGATTTAAGAACTGGGAGTGGGTAGCCTAGGACTGTCATCCTTCAAACTTTAAGACTGAAGGCAGGGTGATCACCATTAGTTTGAAATCAGGTCAGGGAACACAGTTCCAGGCCACCCTGGCTGACAGTGTAAGTTCCTATCTTAAATGAAATAAAAAGAAATGGAACGCACACATACGCACACGCATGCGCACACACACACACATGCATATGCACACATGAATAGGAATACAAGAAAAAGGGAACATAGCCAACCATCTGGACTTTTCTTCTAGAAGTCAGATACTTATTTCATTGGGCTTTACTTTTTATATCCTAAAAATTCTTTTTGATCTCCAGTTCTGATAAATGTATGAAATGATCTAATCGTCCTAACAATACTTGATCTACTACCTCAACTCCTTGACAATATCTCTTACTCAGTTTCCTACTTATTGAGCTAGAGGTGTCTAAAAAAACACTCAGATAAACATGCCCGCCAAGCTGATGAAAATTTGCACCTTCCACTCAGGAGGAGTATTGCCTGGAGTGAAATACTTGGGAATTCTTGTCTATATACCGGACTTAAGTAATGGGAAACTGCCCAAGAACAAGCAAAATCAAGGTGGTTGATGACGAAACCCTGGGATGTATGAGAGCTGAATGGCAAATGGGAGAGTAGTGTAGCACATTGGGAAAAGCAGGAAAGAGGGTTAGTGCAGAAGGTCCAGACGAGGAACATTCAAGAAGACCCAGTGGCCAGGGGCAGCACAGCACAAAGCAGCACTGAGTTAACAGAAGAAACAAAGAGCATGCTGTGGAGTACAGGTTACCCAGAGCCCACGTCTCCCACTGCGCACTTCCTTCCAAAGCCAACCCGAATCAACAGTCAGAATAGTGGCTCACATAACATGCCAACTCAAGGGAAGAAGAGCAAGAATATTGTTAGCAGTTAAGAAACACAACTTTTGGGGGCAGACTACTGCAACTACAGAACATACAAAATAAAGTAGGCAACATAGAAAGTGGAATACAAAGCCTTGAGAAAGAGATTTAATATTAAAAGTAAACCCAGAACTCCCTGGAATTTATTCAAGTGAGATACATCTTATGGCCACAGAAAATTCTGAACACACATGTTTATATTAGTTTTATTCATAATTGCCGAGACATGGAACCAACCAAGATGTTTTGCAACAGGTGATTGCATAAACTATAGCAAATCCACACAATGCATTTTTACTCAGCAATGAAAGTGAGCTGCGGCATCCTTTTTGGCCATGGGATGAAAAAGCAAGATCCACAGTTAAGTGAGGAAACCAAAGGAAAAGTTACATGCCGCGGTGTTCTTAATTATGTGACATTCTGGAAATGTTCAAACTATGGAGACAAAAACAAATCAGTGGTTTCCTAATGTTCTAGGAAGACAAGGTGGGAATGTACATTTACTAATTTGCACATTGCTATCATCGAATACCTGACAAGAAGTAACCTAAGGAAAGAAAGATTTATTTTGGATAGCCATTACAGGGTACAGACCATGGCATCAAGAACAGCTTACAGTTGCATTGGCAAAGCACCAGGCTGTTTACATCACAGTAAGCAGGGAAGGGAGAATGAGAACATGCAAGCGTGTGACACTTAGCCAGAAGCAGGGTTTGAGCTGGACTTCCTAACCTGGTCCTTGGAAACTCACTAATTCCAACATGTGCCACCATCTAAAGCTTTCACAGCTCCCCCAAACAGTGCCACTGCCAGCGAGTAAGTATTCAAACACACAAGTCTGTGGGGAACACTGAAAAAAGTTAACAGCTGAATAAAGGACATTTTAGTACATTGGAAGTACTCTGATGGGTATGTCATTAGACAGTTGTCAAAATGCACAGAAGGTATGAGACAGCGAGAGAGCTCTAATGTGAACTATGAATTAATGATAATGTAACAAAGGCATCACACTAGTGTGAGAGGTCAGTAACAGAGAAACTGTGTGGGTGAGAGAATACACAGCAACTCTAACTTCTACTCAACCATCCTCTAATTCCCAAACTACCACTAAAATAAAGTAAGCAGAGAGGGCTAGGCAGAGAAGGAATCAGATGTAGTTTACTCATATGGTTTTGTACATATCAAACACGGTATAGATAAAGAACCCATTTTGATGGTATGTCTCTTAAGTATTATTTTGATGCAAATACCCAAGTGGCAGGTGAACTAGTACCTGTTGGTAAGAAAGAGGTTAACTTGGAAATGCCTCATTTTCTTCCTTAATTTACCAAGTTTCTTGAAATATGAATAATTCTTCAACCTATTGTTTCATTACAAATTGTGGTGTATAAGTCGAACTGTTACACTTAATTTTAGTAAATATGACTTTCCTAAAATAATATTTAGGAAGAATGAGTTCCTGAATATATGAACCTGTTTCTTTAAACTATAAAACACCATGAAAAAAATCCTTGAATTTATGTAAAATTATAGGTATCCAAGTAGTGATATGTATATTTAAATGTATCCCAACTTTTCAAGTACTTATTTAAAATTATATTAATTACACACACACACACACACAAACACACACACACAGAAAATTTCTTAATTTTGGCAGGCTTCACTGTTTGTGTGAAGATTCAAAAAGCTTGATAAAAACCTGTGGTTTTAGAGTAAGTATACTGCCCTCAGTCTATTAAGGATACTGGCAAGATTCATGCAATTATCAGTACTAAAACACTATATTTTTCTGACATTTTACTGATGGTGTAAAAGTACAATTGGCAAAACAGCTGTCCCTTTACAAATAGCACTAGTGCCAGACATCAATGGTGGCAGTCACCACAGTGAGACACTGTTGATAAAAACTACCCTTTTACTTGGGAATGCTCCCAGTGAAATAGTAAAAATAATGACTGGCATCAACCTCCAGCTTAATAAGCAAGTTAGGACGGTGGTTCGGAGGGAAAATCACTCGTGCAACTGTTATAACTGGAGCAAAGCTTCATTTGTCATGAAGCAAGAATGTTCACTTGAAAGAAAAATGACAAACCGGATATTCACTCATATTCATCATGTTTTCTCAAGACAGAACAATGCGAGCCTGTCACCATAAGTATAACTTACTATTTTTTGCTGATAAGTAAAGCCAAGGTTTTATGCAAAAAAAAAAAAAAAAAAAAAAAAAAAAAACTGCACTTCTGAAAAACTTGTATGCAGTAACTGTGCATATGGCAACTTCTCAATATTATAGGAATATTCTGATGAAACCATGATATCAACAGATATTAATTAAAAACATGGTGATACATGTGAAGATATGGAGTAGCTACATAAGCTAGCAAACTAGCATTTTCTATGTGACCAATGTCCTGTTAGAAAATCATGCAGAGATAAAATAGCCAACAAAATGCAAGATTGACAATGATTTGTAATATGAGTATTAAAACTTCATTTATATGGTCTCAGTTTCTACAATACAACTAACCTTCAGGAAAGTATCACCTGTTGGATTTTTGTGTATTAAAACTATCTTATGAGAATATCCACAATTATTTTGGAACTACTACAAACATGATTTTCCCTTTTACAGTTATTTATCAGAATGAGGCAAACTGTTTCATGCACTTCAACAAAACGACATATTACAGCAGACTGAAACAACTCAGATATAAGAACCCAGCCGTCCTTTGCTAAGATCACATTAAAGAGACCAGATGGGCAGGAGAGGGGGCTTAGTGGTTAACAGAGCTTAGTGCTCTTACACAGGACTGGGTCCAGTTTCCAGTACCCACATCAGGAGGGTTACAACTCCCTGTAGATCTAGTTCCAGGGAATTCAGTGCCCCCATGCTTTTGTGAGCTCCTGCATACATGCATCCTGTGCACATAAACTCACACAGGTTCACATACATACATATAATTTAAAAATATTTCTTCAAAGTGATTTCAAAGAACTTAGAACAATGCCAGTCTTCTCTTTTTTGGAAAAGTTGTTTTCTATAAAATGTTTTTGTCAATACAAGTTTTTTAATGTTACTTTAATTGGTAAATGTGTTTTCAATGGTATTTACAATGGTAAATACTGACAAAGTTAGCCTGATGAAAATCAATGCCTGTTTACTGGGATCCATAATATTTATAAGGGAAATGAATTATTAAAACCAGTAGAATAAGACTAATGTGGTTTGCTCAAGCCAGACCTCCTAAAACAGAGTACCAGGTGATCCTACATTCAAAACAGCTGGACAAAGCAGCCTGACAGACTACAGCCAGGATTTCTGCATCTTCTTAGAATCCCCTTGACAGCTCCCCTTACCAGCAGGAAGTAGTTTGGAAAGAACAACACCCAAATTCCCAAATATTGTGTATAAATGTTTGTTTTCATTTAAATGGACTTGGCTATATAAAATTAAAAAAAAAAAAAAAACAAAACAAAAAAACCCCAGTGGAATAATCTCTTACCACTAAATTTAAAATACCTGAACAGAAAACTATCGTTCTTAACTAATGACTTAGAAGATGATATTAATAGGATCTAATGCTTTATATAATGATTTGAATACGATGCAAACTGCCTTCATACTTAACTTACAAAGAGAATTCCGTTTTACTAATTTCAGTTGTGATGTAGTCAAATTCTCTCCTTGTTGATTTTTATTCTCATCACTGTCCTCATCTCGTACGACAAAATCATCGATCATATAATCATCGCCATTTTCATCACATTTGTAATCATCCTCATCCTCATCCTCATCAGTACTTGAACAAGATTCCTTCTCAGAGTCCTAATCAAATGGAAAGAAATGCTTCACTAAAAATCATGCCTTTTTTAAACTAAATCTGAAGGCAAAACGTTAATTCACACTTAAGCACATGTTTTAAGGCTAACTATTGAACTTTTGATATTGAAGAAGTACAGACTTTGGCTATGTGATGTAAAATGTTTAAAATAAACATAAAAACATGAGCAATTAAGAATGAGAAAGACCACACGGAACAACAAATAGTCTTTCAATGTTTTTAAAAGACAGAGTGAGGCTCAAAATAAATTACTATTACGAAAATACAACATTCAAGGATGCTTACTTAAAAATTCTAACTTACTGGAAATAGAATAGACTCGGTACTTTTAGTATTTGTAAAAACTACTTCCAAGTAAAAATTTAGCAACAATAAACCAACAAAATAAAACACACCTCAACATTTCTACCACTATTGCGTCTCTGCCTCTGGCGTGATCTTTCTGAGAGTTCCTTTAGCTTCTGGTGGTGTTCTCGCTTTCGAGCAGCTGATGATTTTTCAGGGGTTTCTTGTTCCATCTCCAGTGAAGAACACTCATCTTCGACCACCCTGCGTGGACGTTTAGCACTCAGTTTTCTAACAAGGATATCACTGTCATCACTGTCGTCACTGTCATACATTACCGAAGACAGCCTTTTTCTTTTTCCAGGCTTGATGTATTCATCTTCCATATCCTCCTCTGCGGTTTGTTTGGTATGCTTGTTGACATCTGGTAAATCATGTTCAGCTTTGTCCCTTTCTTCTTCATCCGTTGACCTTCTGGCAGTGTCCCTAAGAGGGTTACTGCTGCTTCCCTCACTCTCCACTTTGATTAATCTGGGTTCTGTTTCCTTTTCTGGTACTTCACCCACACCAGGCTTCTTGCTACTATCAGACTCTTCACCACTATCAATACTTTGACCACTCTCTAGCTCTTCGTCACTATCAGGTTCAAGCTCCTCATCACTGTCAAGCTCTTCGTCACTAACAAATAACTGTGAGATGCTTCTCTTAGTTCGACGCCAATCAACTCGAGATTTTTGCTCAGGTACTTGAGTTTTAGAATTTCTTCTTGTTTCGTGTCTTCTAACATGCACCATTTTCACTTAAGCTTCTATAAAATAAAGTTATTAGGAACATAACAATGACAACCAGATTACAGCAATGAATACATAGCACAAATTAATTTGGCTTCATTAAATGATTCACAAAGGCAAATCACATGAGATATTTGAGTAAAAAAAAAAAAAAAAAAACAAAAAAAATCACAGAACAGTCGATGTACATATAATCCACTGAACAACTATTTATTTTTTGAACACATTCTTAATTATGCTACATGTTGTGCTGAAAATATACAGAAAAATTATGGTCCTGTGTCCTTTAGAAAATGGTTTAAAACTTAAACATGCAAACATACTTTAAAAGAATTCAAGTTGGTTACTATTGATGAGTAATAAAAATAAATGTGATAGAAATGTCAAGATGAAGAAAAATAAGGCAATTAGTTCATCAGTAGCAGAGTTGTTAAGGCACAATTTTCAAGGACTGGTTAGATTTGAAAAGAAATAATGAAAGAAAAGGTAATTTCAGATAAGTAACTATAGTATGGGCAAAACTCTGGCACTGATAAGTAAATGTTATACTTAGTAAATAAGTGTTACTAAAAATGGATAAATAGCTTCTGGCAGGAAGAAAGGGAGACAAGAATAGAAAATAACGATGGGTTTACAAAGACGGGGTTGGGAGGTGGCTTAGCGGGTAAAATGACCGCCATAAAAGCATGCGGACCTGGATTGGGATTCTCGTCACCCACATTAAAAACGGGTTAGTGCCATGCACAGCGAACCCAGCAATGGATGTGGGTGGGACAGACACAGGGCCGTCTTAGGGGTGGCCTGCTCGTACAACTGACATGACAACCTTGTTTCAAATACTAATGGTGAGGGCAACAATAGCAATGCAGTGAGAAACAGGTACCCATCCCTGGTGGCCACATAAATCTGTAGTACCCATCCCTGGTGGCCACATAAATCTGTAGTACCCATCCCTGGTGGCCACATAAATCTGTAGTACCCATCCCTGGTGGCCACATAAATCTGTAGTACCCATCCCTGGTGGCCACATAAATCTGTAGTACCCATCCCTGGTGGCCACATAAATCTGTAGTACCCATCCCTGGTGGCCACATAAATCTGTAGTACCCATCCCTGGTGGCCACATAAATCTGTAGTACCCATCCCTGGTGGCCACATAAGTCTGTAGTACCCATCCCTGGTGGCCACATAAATCTGTAGTACCCATCCCTGGTGGCCACATAAATCTGTAGTACCCATCCCTGGTGGCCACATAAATCTGTTTGGCAAGCAAACTCACATATATTGCATCTATGTATGCAACAAACAGATACACTAAATTACAAAGAGGACTTATCCTCAGGCAAAGTAGGACTTGATTTGGAACAGAAATAAGATTTAAAGGCTCCATCATGTTATGTGAACAAAGTGACAATGTAGTAACTGATATAAAAAAGAGATGACAATACAACGTAGAGAGAACTTATCTGCTAAGACTGTAGCCTCTGTATTCCTTTGTGGTGTAGAAATGGAGTTACACTACACTTAAAAAGGACAGACTAATCCAACAAAGCTTACTATTAGTTCATAGTCAAATGAAAAGGATAAGAAAAGTTTCATGGCAGAGCAAAGTACAAGGAAGAAAAATTAAAGCTTCCAGATTGTGATTTTATAATGTATATTTCACTAAATTTATCGCAAGCATATATTAAACTACCGATAGTTAAGATATCTAGAAATTTAGTAACAAATATATACTTCTGTGGTTGCCAAGGAACACAAGAATCATAAGGTAATATGACCTCATAGTAAAAGTGTAAAAGCTTATGAAAATTATAACAATATTTTACAATAGTATACAATGTTTCTGGTTTTTCTACACATAGTTGTATCAATGGATAAAACAAAAATAGAACCGTAAAACAAAAAATAATCCAAGATTATGAAAATCACACTGCTTATTTTTTATATTGCAAATATTAGCTTCAAACATCCACTTCATTTGTCTCACTTAGAAGCTTACAGAAAAGAAATCTTTATAAGATTAACGATAACTGAAAATACTAAAAAAAATGTGTACCTAACTATAAAGGTAGTATCAAAACTACAAAGCCAAAATAATTAAGCAATGTTGGCATTACTGGACCAAGTTTATAGTTTTCCAAAAATTATCACTTGGAAGAGAAAAGAATATGTTAACTGTAATAATTCTGGTGTGGACATAAGGCAGTAAACCTCCCCATAATGGTAAACTCTGATATAAAATCATAACACCAGATATTATAAGAGTATTCATCAAAAATGACCTGTGCAGCATAGGCCAAAGTGTAATTATCTGCTACAGGATAATATTAATGTAACAATGACAGTAACAAATACCAAATAGTAAACAAAATGGTCTTTATGAACTATATGATAGTTGGTATAATCTACGTAAGTTATAGTGAAGCCACCAAAAATAAAAAAAAAAAGGTATGTACTGAAAAGTATCTAAAAACCCTAGCTGACTCTTCAAAGCTTTACAATGTGTCACCTAATTTCTTCAATAGTTTTGAAAATATTTTTTGATAAACACTGGACTAACTAAGCAGCTTACGTTTTGAAGTTTTATAGTAAAGTATTTGTAAGCACACATAAATTTTCATAAGCCAATTTTATATGTACATTATATAATCATAAGGCTTTCTTGGAAACTAGAAATGTTTGAATTGGGAGAAATAATGAAAAACACTTCAATAAAAAGACAAACATGGTTTCAATAGATACATGAAGTAAATATGGACAGTAGGAAATGTTAAGGTGAAAGATGATTTTATTTTAGTACACAAGGCAGATTCACATATACCAGAGTGCTCTTAAAACTACAAGATGCTCACAATGGGTTTCTAGGACAACAGCAGAAGTTATTAAGACTATCATACTATTAAAAGGACATATGACTATACACAATGAAGATACAAAAGAGATCAATTGTATTTAAAATTGGTCAGTATACTTTCATCTTTATTTTTAAATCCTGACAATGATCTTCCAAAGGAGATACTATTTATCTTCAAATACAAATATTAAAGCCAAGTACATAGAGTTTAAATGACTTACCAAAGATCACAGAGCTTGCTAGTGACAGAGCAGGGTTAGAAACCAGGCCTCCTGAACCTGTCCAGTGCTGCACAATGACTGCTGGTAGTGAAAATAAGTAATATTTCATTTCTTAGTCATGGTAAATTCTAATTTCAGAAAACAGCCTAATAACAACATGCTTTTCTAAAACTGGCGAACTGAATTTAAGGGCACATGGGTTAAGTCAGAAAGTTTTGAAAATTATCCATTAGGCAAGAAAACAATGTTTAAGAGATGGAAAGCTGCAGTCTTCCCTCTACCATTTTATTGATGACTTCAACAACATTTAAGGGAGTCCTTGGTAGGGTCCAACGCAAAAGTTTCTATGAGAACATGTAGACTTCGACCTTTTAAGAAGGTATACTTTATTTAAACTAAATTTCATTTGGCAAACTGCACATTTTCCAGGGATGGGAGATGTCATTCTGTATATATGTTTCTCATACTGGTTAATGAATAAAGCACTGTTGGCCAATAGGAAAGGAAGACAGGCGGGACTAGGAGACAAGGAGGAAAGAGGAAGGAGTGAGGAGGAGTCAAGATGGAGAGTCTGGGGAGAGCAGGACGCCAGCGGGCTCTCCGGTAAGAGCACTTGGAAATATTAGATTAACAGAAATGGGTTAATACTTAAGACAGAGCTAGCAGATAAGAAACAAGTAACTGGCCAACAGCATTGTATCAAATACAGAGTCTCAGTGTGTTATTTGGGGCTGGCGCAGGGGCGCGACCAGACCGGCAGCGGGAGGAAAAACCTTACTCCTTACAGTTTCTGTCATATTTCAAAATTGTCATTTCTAACAATAAGATAAAAAACAAAACAAACAAACAAAAACAAAAGCCTGTTAGTAAAAGGGACATTTTTGAATGTGGTTAACTCTTCTTTTTAAAGTATGGAGTTTTAGTAAATTGTCTGGGGAGGGAAGAATGTCAGAGGAAAAAGGTGAGTGATCCAGGGAAGACAAATGAGAGACAGAAGTCAAAAGCTCATGGGTAAGACATTTCCATGTTTAGAAGTCACCTGCAAAATAATCCATACAAATGGGTGTGAATTTTATTTATGCTGGATTAAAAATAAAACAAAAAAACAAATGAGAATTTTATCAAGGTATCTTACCTTCAGGCAAAGAGAAAAACAATGACTCCACCAGAAAGCATCAAATAAGTGAATGAAGGTCAATACTATCACGTGTTTCATGACTATCATGTAAGATGCATATATTTATTAACTATGATATCAGCCAAAGGGTGTGACTTAAAGATAATTGGTATCTGCATGTGTCCTCTCAAAGCAACTTTGCAGGTAAAAGAAGGTACTCCAATCTCTCATTGGCATAAATATTTTCTTTTAGAATTTGAGGTTAATTCACACTCAAGAAATATCTTACATTGAAGTCACCTACTTGCTCTACAAACAATGTAGGCAGATGACTAATACTTATCCCTGATTTGAAGTGCAAACACTATGCTACTTTTGGAAATTCTACCAGAAGCGATTAATTCATGAAATTTGTAGAATATCAACCCTCTTTTATGCTTTCTTTTATATGGTAGTTTGGAGAGCAAATATTACAAAAACAAAGTAACAGTTTTTGAACATTTATCAAAATGCCAGCCCATGTTCTGTAGCAGTGGTATTACTAGAAGAAATAAACGTTGTCTCTGCTCCCACGGAGCTCACAATCTTACAAAATGACTAGGAACGAGGAAACCAAATCAGCACAATAAAGGATCTGAGGGCCGCACGCATTATTCTGATTTAGTCCTAGTCACACTGGTCTGAGTCAATCTGTCATAATCCTCACATTGGCTGAAAAAGAGGGCAGCATAACATGACAGAAAAAAAGGAAACGATGAAGTAATGATATTAAGAGACAAGCCAATGCCTCCCCATTTGTCATCATAGTTCAATAATACTTCACAATCTCGTAGAATGGGGTCCTGCCAGCCTGGCATCCAGGATAACTACATCGCTCACTAGCATCTGTGACAGGGGCTGCGGCTCCCTCAATCCAGCTGGGATGAAAGTTTGGGAGAAGAAAAGCTCCTCGGGGTGTGAACACCATGGTCACATTGACGATTACCAACCTGGCCTTCTGGAGGAACTCATTCCCCAGACACAGGAAGCGGTGCTCGCTGGCTCGCGCAGGCCTCCGAGGAGGGGCGGCTGAAGGGGAGCCCAGGAGCTCAGCTTCCTCAGGACCGCACAGGGCTGGCCGTGCACAGACGACGGTCTGGGGAGACAAGGGCATGGGGAGGACCGTGTGCTCAGATCCCGCCTGCTGAAACCTGCCCTCCGCAGGAGACACCCGAGGGGGCTGCGCTCGCGCAGGCAGGGCTGGGGAGACATGGCGCCCGTGACGCTCGGCGCCGCGGCGGGACTGCGCCCGGGCTCTGCGGCAGGGAGGGAGGCTCTGCGGCAGGGAGGGAGGCGAGGCGCCCGCACTCCAGAGCCCAGAGCGCAGAGCGCGGCCAGAGCCCGGAGAATTCCCGCCAGGGACCCGCAGGGCGCCAGCCTGCAGCTCTCACCTTTCACAGCGCCGGCCCCGCCCGGCCCCGCCTCCGCCCGCCCTGCTCCCGCCTCTGCCCGTCCCACCGGGCGCAGGCCCGCCCCGCCCCCGATTGCCCCGCCCCTCCCGGCCCTGGCCCCGCCTCCTCCCGGTCCAGGCCCCGCCTCCGATCGCCCCTCCCCTCCCGGCCCCGCCCCGCCCCCTCATGGCCCCGCCCCCTCCCGGCCAAGGCCCCGCCTCCGATCGCCCCGCCCCTCCATGCCCAAGCCCTGCCCCGCCTCCTCCTGGCCCCGCCTCCGATCGCCCCCACCCGGCCCAGGCTCCGCCTTCGCCCCTCCCCTCTGCCCCCAGCGTCCCCGCCCCGCCCCGCCCTCGGCCCCCGCCCCCTCCTGGCTCCGCCTCCGCCTGCCCGCCCGGCCCACACCCCCGCCCCGCCTCCGTCCCGCCCCTCTGACCCCAGCGGCCCCGCCCCTTCCTGTCCCCGCCCTGACCCCCCACGGCCCAGGCCCCGCCCTGACTCCGCCTCCGCTCGCCCGCGCCTCCGCCCCTGCCCTGACTCCGCCCCCGCCCCGACTGGCTCAGCCCCGCCCCCAACCCCGCCCCGCCCCGCCCGCGCCTCCGCCCAGGTTCGCGCGCGACCGTCCACGCACTTCCGGGAGGAGACGGAAGTCCCGCTTCTGGGCGGGATCGAAGCGCGCGAGCCGGGGCGCGGCTTCCGGGAGCGCGCGCTGCGGGAGCAGCGGCTGCGTCGTCGTCCGGGAGCGGCTGAGGTGGGCGTGCGGCGGGCGGGCAGCCGGGGCGCGGCCCGAGGGCGGGGAGCCCGCGCCTTCCGCTCTGCGCTCACCCCGGGTGTGGCGGGGCCCGCGCGGCGTGGGTGGGCGCGGCGTGGGCGCGCCGGGCGCTCACCATGTCCGCGAAGCGGAAGCGGAAGCGAGTGGTACTGACCATTAAGGATAAACTGGACATAATCAAGAAGCTGGAAGACGGAGGCTCCTCCAAGCAGTTGGCCGTGACTTACGGCATCGGGGAAACCACAGTTAGGGACATTCGGAAGAACAAGGAAAAGATCATAACGTACGCCAGCAGCTCGGACTCCACAAGCCTGCTGGCCAAGCGGAAGTCCATGAAGCCGTCCATGTACGAGGAACTGGACAGAGCGATGCTCGAGTGGTTCAACCAGCAGCGAGCCAGAGGGAACCCCGTGTCCGGGCCGGCGTGTGCCAAGCGCGCAGAGTTCTTTTTCTACGCCCTGGGAATGGACGGCGACTTTAACCCTTCCGCTGGCTGGTTAACCCGCTTTAAGCAGCGGCACAGCATCAGGGAGATTAACATCAGAAACGAAAGGCGGAAGGGAGACGAGGCTGCCCTGGAAGACTTCTGTGAGGGGTTCAGAGCTTTCATCGCGCGGGAGGATTTGCAGCCGGAACAGATCTACAATGCGGACGAGACTGGGCTGTTCTGGAAGAGCTTCCCTTCCAGGACCGCGGGAGCTAAGGGAAAACGCGCTGCCCCTGGGCACAACGCACTTGAAGAAAGAGTCACTGTTATGTGTTGTACCAACGCAACAGGCTCACACAAACTTAAACTTTGCGTTGTGGGCAAAGCAAAGAAACCTCGCTCCTTCGAGTCGACCGACACCTTAAACCTGCCAGTCTCGTATTTCAGCCAGAAAGGTGCATGGATGGATCTCTCCATTTTCCGGCAATGGTTCGACAAGATTTTTGTGCCTCAGGTTCGAGAGTACTTAAGATCTAAAGGCTTGCAGGAAAAAGCCGTGCTCTTGCTGGATAATTCCCCAACACATCCAAATGAAAATGTCCTGAGGTCAGATGATGGCCAGATATTTGCAAAATGTTTACCACCTAATGTAGCCTCATCGATTCAGCCTTTGGGTCAGGGCATCATAGCAACTATGAAAAGGAACTACCGCGCAGGTCTTCTCCAGAACAATTTGGAAGAAGGTAATGACCTGAAATCATTCTGGAAGAAGCTGACTCTGTTGGATGCACTTTATGAAATAGCAATGGCATGGAACTTAGTCAAGCCGGTTACCATTAGCAGAGCTTGGAAACAGATTCTGCCTTCCATAGAGGAAAAGGAAGGCTCGGACTTGGATGAAGAAGATATTTCTGGGGCTACCGTGGCCACCATTTTACAGCATACCAAAGGCCTGGAAAATGTGACGCCTGAAAACATAGAAAAGTGGCTTGATATTGACAGTACTGAGCCAGGTTATGAAGTACTAACCGACAGTGAAATCATCAGAAGGGCCCAAGGCCAGACGGACGAAGGCAGTGAGAACGACGAGGAAAGAATTGAGCTGATCCCAGAGAAACAGATAAATCATACAGCTGCTCTCCAATGGACTGAGAATTTATTAGATTATCTAGAACAACAAGGTGATATGATTCTACCTGACAGACTGGTAATTCGTAAGCTTAGAGCCACCATCAGAAATAAACAGAAGATGACAAACCCAAGTCAATAGCAGTGTTTGAGTTTTATCATTGCTATGATAATTGTGTTTGTGTGACACTCTGTGGCCTAATTTTCTTAGTGTTCCACACTGTCAAACACATAAAGATGTAACTGAAGTGGTTTGAGGATTATGTGTCTTACTTATCCCGTTATTTGTAAAAACGGAACGAATTCTATGTAGATATACATGACACATACATTTGTTTCTGTAAATCGGTGATGTAATGGCATTCCCTACATTTTCTACCTTTAAAAAATGAATACAGTGAGCACTTTCCTAAATTCTTTTGCTTGAATTGAGGGCTACAGTAGCAATCTTGTGTTAACCACCTTAAGTGGTTATCTGATTTTTGTATTTGCATTGGCTGAGAATTAAAGGACTGGTTTCAGGATGACATAACAATGAAGTTCAATAATGATAGTGGAAATAGTCTATGAATTATAAAAATAACTTAGAACCATATTTCTGTGTTCTTGCTTTTTTGTGGGTAGAAAACATAATTCTGGAAGTAGTTATTGAATGAGAAACTGGAAAGCTGACTTATGAGAGGTATTTTTATCTGCTCATTTGGAGGAAACTGGCTGTTAAAAATTTGGGAAACAGGTTTATTTATACAAAGAAAAAGGATTTTTTTTTTGGGTTGGATAACAATATAGAATTATTTATTTAACTAATTTTTCCAAAAGTGTTTTTAATTATTACATATAATAATATGAACTCCCACTAATATTTGGGAAACTTCTGAAATTTAATTCTTTTTTTACTGAATATTTAGAAATATCTATAACTTGAAAATTTTGTCATACTTGGCTGATTTATTTGATATGAAAAAATAAAGTTTTTATTTTAGATAAATCATATGTTTGTATTCCGTTTTTTGAAGAAAGCATAAATAACTAGAAAGTCCTAGAGATTTGTTCTGAGTTTTGACAAATTTTTAAAATTCTGTCTATCCATGATAATGATAATAGTTTTCATATGTTGAGATTCCTATAATTTAAGAGAAAAGTGTTTTTATTATAGCATGTCTGGGGTCAGAATTTATTTAAAAAAAAAAGAATTGGTCACAGTTTTGAATATTTTGTGTTTTCCATTGGTTGTCTTGGGATTCTAAAACTTAAAAAGATTTTTAATCATCCCATAATTTCTGTTATCTTTGTTTTATGTATATGTGTGTGTGTCTAGATTTTCCAAATATTTGATATAAAGTGTTTTTAAATTGTGTTTGTCGTATTAATTCTGAGTTCCTAGTGGAACAAAAAGCATTAGAAATCAACATGCATATTGAACTAGATAAAAATTATTAGTTAAATTTTATATAAAATACTTTTATAAAATGAAAATATACACTAGTGAGTCTCTTGATTTGTTTTCCTGGATTTATTTTTTTTTCATATGAAATGCAGCTGTATCGTTGCCACCTAGTGGTCAAATCATCTTGACTGTCGAGCTATTTGGATTTAAACACTGTGTCCTTTGTCTTGTTCACTTGTCCTTGAATCTTGTGACTCTCTAGACTGGGAAACTGGTCATCTTTGGTTAGGAGCTATTTGTTCTGTGAAATTTGCAAACTGGTAAGATAGCAGTTTTGTATTAGTTCAGAATGCTTAATTTTAACAGTTAACCGATTCTTGAACATTGTGTTCTAAGTTGTGGACTTTCATTATCTAGTCCTCTTAATTGTAAATTAGATGGAAATTCTTATGGTTGTTTCTTATTCTTCCTTACTCCAGGTAAGCCTTTAAGCTCAGGGTTTTCACTCTAAAAGCCTATATAAGTTTGGTACCTAATCAATTTAGATAAACTCTTACTCTTTCTCAGGTTTCAGTATTATTTAGAGCCTCCCTCTATCGCTTGCCACACATATGTGGATTTCTTGTTTCCCAGTGCATTTGGGGGTAACCATTGCCTTTTCCTTTATTTGAAGAGGTTTGTCTTCCTCTCCTGTTACCCCTTTTCCATCACTCCTAGCATTTGAAGATTGGGTTGTCTGCCTTTTGCTTTCCAGGTCACAGTGCTCAGTGAGAGCAGTATTGGCAAAAGGAACAGTTTGTGTGCAGATTTCCTTTAAGTTCACAGGACTGTCCTGAAGAAAATAGAAGAGTCATCATAATATCAACGTGGAAGTCTTGCTGGGTTAGAGATACTAGAAATCATTACTGAAGGAAGCCCAGCTTTAAATAGGCATTAGAGAAACTTGCTCATCTAGAATGCTAGAGTGAAAGTGGTCAAACAACCTGGTTTATCCTTTGCTGTTTCCTATTAGTAGCCAGCCTCCCCCTGACACGCTCCTCCCCCAATATCCTGAGCATTGTGTAGGTCCTATTCCTGACCTTTGTCTCTCAGTGAGTAGAAGCCATCCTTACTAGAGAGGCTCATGGATATTACCTCTCTCTCTCTCTATATATATATATATATATATAGATAGATAGATAGATAGATAGATAGATAGATACCCTCTATAGATAGGCTCTATCCTTAGGCTTACCACAGGTCCTCTCTGTAGGCACTAACTCTCAGCTGTGTTTATCAGCCAGTAGAACTCATTGCAAAGGTCACAGGTGCCTTGCTACTTTGCTAGTGTGTCGCTGTGTAGCTGTGCCTAAAGTTTTGTTGTGATAATTGTGTGGAAAGATTTCCCCGAAGTTTCACTATGTTTAAATGTGTAAGAAGAATAAACCCCTGGAAGTTTGACCCAGGTCCTGCAAAGATGGTACTGACTGAGTTCATTCATCAATTCATGTGAATCACCTTGACACATTACTAAAAGGAAATGAAGATGGATGGATACACTTAATCCAAACAGATCAAAGAGGTAATGATGGGAGATGTCATTCTGTAAATATGTTTCCCTTATAGGTTAAGGAATAAAGCACTGTTGGCCAATAGGAAAGCAAGATAGGCAGGACTAGGAGACAAGGAGGAAAGAGGAATTAGTAGGGAGGAAATTCAAGATGGAGGACGGATAGAGAAGAACGCCAGCCCCTCTCTCCGTTAAGTAAGACCACGTAGAAACACTTAGATTAATAGAAATGGGTTAATAATTAAGAGCCAGCCAATAAGAAACATTAGAAATAGGCCACCAGCATTATATCTAATATAATGTCTCTGTATGTGCCCTTTGGGGCTGGCGTGGCGGTGGGGACCAGACTGACTACAGGGAAAAACCTACTCCTAACATGGCACCTTCAACGTGGCTAATGAGAACTTCCACTTAAAACTTAACGAAAGCTTAGGAAAGGGGTTTTAGAAACAAAAGAACAGCGACAAGCAAGGCTTCTTGGTAGCACCATTTTTCTCAGTTGGACTCTGTTTTGCTGGAGACAGGCAGAGGTTTGTGTGGTTCCTTTAAGGTTTCCTGACTCAGCAAACTCAGCAGGAAAAAAAAAAAATTGTAAGGCTTTTAAAGAGCTCTGCTAACATAACAATTCATTGATGTGTACGAGAGCTGGCAATGGCAGTGACCACATCTCCAGGCCGGCAGCATGCTGCTGGATGGCAGCGCAGACCAAGGCAGTGAGCACAGCTCTCAGTTCTGGCAGGAAAAGTACCTGCCACCATCTTGGATAGACCATGGCTAACACAGCTCTGACTTTCATTTTAGCAATGTTGTTGTTTACCAGATAAAAGACCCGTGGCCAGAAATAGATGAGGATTTACAGTAAAGACAGATTCAGATTAAGAAAAACCTATAAAGGTTTACAGTGTGTTTTAAAATGCACATAGGCTTGGAACAGAAAAAGAAACAGGATAAAATGGTTTAAAAAATAATAATAAAAAGACAGAAAGTAGCTGGGTATGGTGGCACACGCCTTTAATTCCAGCACTCGGGAGACAGAGGCAAGCAGATCTCTGTGATTTCAAAGTAAACCTGGTATACAGAGTTAATTCTAGGACAGATAAAAGTTACACAGAGAAACCATGTCTCGAAAAATAAAAAATAAATAAATAAATAAAGTAATAAAAAAGCCACATAAGATGGGAAGCACAAAAAGAGTATGGATACTATATGCTCTTCTGTTATCTTTGAATTATTTGACTGCTGAGGAAATAACAACTGTTAAAAGAAATGCTGCTGGATTAATCCAATTTATATATTTTAAAAATGCTTTGACTCAAAAATTTAAGTCTAAGGAAAAGTTACTGGGGAAAAGGATTTCTATTTTTGTTTCCACAGAAAATGAAAAGCTGTGGATTCCTTCCAGACTAACATGGTTTGATCAAGCCAGACCCCCTGAAACAGTGTCCCAGGTGATCCAACATTCAAAACAGCTGAACAAAGCAGCCTTGCAGACTACAGCCAAGATTTCTGCATCTTCTTAGGATTCCCCCATGACAGCGCCCCCTATCAGCAGGAAGCAGTTTGGAAAGAACGACGCCCAAATTCCTAAATATTGTTTATAACTGTTTGATTTCATTTATATGGGGTTCATTATAAATGCTTAATGACCACAACCAATCTTTTTAAAGGTAAAAAGGGGATTATGGTATAGATATGAATACTTTGTTTTGGAATGGATTTTCACTTATGGATACAAATTTAAGGTCAATTTTGTGATATGTATATTTCTCCTCTTGTTTAGGTATTATGTTTATATAGATCATTTAAAATGTATAATTTAGTACAGATTTTAGATAATTACCAATAATAGTCAAAACTTTAGTTAGATTTTATCTATAATAGTGAAAACGTATAATGTTAGTTAGGTTTTCTAGATATACAGAGATGTATTTGAGATAAACAGGCATTCTTCAAACCTTTCAAAGACATACAGAATATGGCATTTAAAATGGTTTAGGGTTTTTCTTGACAATGAGACATAAATGCTCCTGGCAACACCACCTGCATCAGAAAGGAAGATGGACATCAAAGAAACTCATTATGCAGTTTACTCCCAATATGGCAAGACTAGCTATTTGGGCAAGATACCACTCTTGTCTGGACTGTTTGACTTTATGCTGTATAAAAGTGACTGACAAATTGTTTCCTGTTTTGCTGAAGAGTCTGCCAGACACACTATGGCCTATGGACTGAAGATGGAACATTACAGAAGAACTTCGGGTGACTAACCAGGCAGTGAGTTGTTTCTGTCATTTCTAGAGTTTATATATTATCCTTCTGTGGTCTTTGATGGTTATGGTTATAGTTTTCCTTAGTTAGGATTAAAGATAAGTTACTTTAGACACAAAAAGATAGGATAGATGATAGAATATTTTCTTTAAATCTTATTAAATGTTAATGGACTAAACATTGTTAACTGTGATTCTTATTTGATAGCTGTTGTGTGATATATTTTGCTATGCTAAGGTTAAAACCCTTTTTATTTAGACAGAAAAGAGGAGATGATGGGAAATGTCATTCTGTAAATATGTGTCTCTAATTGGTTAATGAATAAAGCACTGTTGGCCAATAGGAAAGCAAGATAGGCGGGACTAGGAGACAAGGAGGAGAGAGGAATTAGTAGGGAGAAGATCCATCATGGAGGACAGAAAGAGTAGAATGCCAGCCCCTTTCTCCGGTTAGATGAGACCACGTGGAAATACTTAGATAATGGGTTAGTATTTAAGACAGAACTAGCAGATATGAAACTAGTAACTGGCCAACAGAATTATATTAAATACAGAGTCTCTGTGTGTTATTTGGGCCTGGCGTGGTTCTGGGACCAGGCAGGTGCAGCAGTGGGTCCAGGCAGGTGGGAAAAACCTGCTCATAACAAGGTAATATCCAAGAAAGACAATATGGGAAAAGAGTAAAGGATGCAGTTAATGGAAAACAAGGGAATGTGGCCTATGTTGATTGGCACTTTACAATGTATGCATTCCAGCATGTCAGATATGGAATTTCTGGTTTGTGTT